AATTTTATAAATTAGTCGGTATTAACACACAACTTTCAGACCACGATGGACAAATTCTAGAAATTATAAATAAACATAAAAATCAAATGTTAAATAATTCTTCTCAATTTTATTATGAATTCAAAAGAAAATTCAGCGACTCCAATATTGAACAATTTATTAATATTTTACAAAATGAAACTTGGTTAGATCTTTTCTTATCACCGGTTGAAAATAAGTATGACATATTTCATAAAACTTTCATTGGTCATTTTAATGAATGCTTCCCTAAAACTCTTTCAAGACAGCACACTAAAAAGAAATTGATTTCTAAGGAACTTAAGACAGAAAGACAGGAAATTATTGATTTAAGTAAAACAGCGAGAGATATTAAATCCAAAGTTTTGTTGGACAAAGTTAAAAAAATGAACAAACATTATAAAGAAAAATTAAAATCTTCAAAAAAAGAATATTACAAAAAGAAAATTAGTAATTCTAGTAATGTTAATAAAACATCTTGGATGATAATTAATTCTGAAGTAGGAACTGGCTCTTTAAAAACTGAAAATATAAATTTAAAAATAAATGATGATGTTTGTTCTGATCCTTTATTGATTTGTAATCAGTTCATTGATTATTTTGCAAATATTGTGGATGACAGTGTCTTGTCGAATCTAGAGCAAGCCAGAGATGATCATAGCAGTAGTAATACTGGGAGTGAGATACTTCCATGTGACAGGAAATTTGGTTTTAGCTTTGTTGATGAGAAGGACATAGATGCTATTATCTGCAGCCTAAAAAATTCTTTCAGTATGGGGTATGATGATGTCCCTGTGGTACTTCTAAAAAAAGCGAAATCAGTCTTACTAAAACCTATTGCTCATCTTATAAATTCTTCCTTAATTTCAGGTATTTTCCCCAACAAACTTAAGATTACAAAATTAAAACCACTCTTCAAAAAAGGAGACAAGAAAATTGTATCAAACTATCGCCCTATAGCATTGTTACCAGCTATCTCAAAAATTTATGAAAAAGTAGTTTATAATCAACTGGTAAATTTTTTGGAAAAAAATCATCTATTTGAGGACTGTCAACATGGCTTCCGCTATGGTCGGTCTGTTATTACAGCTGCCACAGACTTCATTGAATCTGTTATAGATAGTCTAGACAATAAAGGTAAAGTTGCGGGTCTATTCATGGACATTAGCAAAGCCTTTGATTCAATATCACATGATTTATTAATTTTGAAATTGAGTAAATTAGGAATTAAAAACAATACTTTAAACTGGCTAAAATCTTACCTTCATGATAGAAAACAGTTTGTCGAAATTATTTACCATAACAACAAAAATTATAAAATCCCTTATCGTTCCGATATTACAGCAGTTAAATATGGGGTGCCACAGGGATCCATTTTAGGTCCCCTTTTATTTATTTGCTATTTAAGAGACTTCCCTCAGCTTTCTGATTTCAGTAAACTTTGTCTTTATGCTGATGACACCAATTTGAAAATCACTGCATCAACCGTTGCTGAATTAGAAGTTAAAATTAATTCCGACCTAACTCTCTTAAACAAATTTTTTAATGCCAACAATTTGCTTTTAAATCCTGAAAAAACTAATATTATTTGTTTTAAAACTCGATCAGCTCAAAATATAACTCAACCTAATGTTACCATATTTGATCAAAAAATTGAGGTTAAAGACAGCATAAAATTTTTAGGATTAGAAATAGAAAGTACACTTAAATGGAACCGTCATGTTGAACAATTACTCACTAAAATTTCTTCTGGCCTTTATGCATTGGTTAGGTTGAAAAATTTTTGTGAAAAAGAATCTCTAAAAGTTGTTTATTTCTCTTACATCCATTCAGTGATATCATTTGGGCTATCTCTTTATGGTGCAACTACTAAAGAAAATTTAAACTCTATCTTGATAATGCAAAAAAAAGCCATTAGAATTATTCGTAATTTACAACCCAGAACTTCAGTTAAAGATTATTTTAAATTAGAAAACATAATGACTGTTTATGGAATGTATGTTTTTGAAACTGTTTTATCAATAAAAAATAGATTTCAGGAATTGGAGCTAATCGGTAACAATCATGAATATAACACCAGAAATCGGGGCTGTATCGCAATGAGCTATCACACTCTGGAACTTTTCAAAAAGAAACCTAAATATGCTGGTTCAAAATTTTATAACAAAATTCCAAAAAGCATAACAGATGAGGTGTCAACCAAAAAATTCAAAATTAAATTGAAGCAGTACCTCATCAGCAAAGCTATATATTCTTTCGATGAGTTGTAGGAGGTAATGTCTAACTTTGCATAGCCTATATTGTTAATTCTAAGAAACCTTTGTTTTTCATTTTTCAATACCTGTATATTTGACACTATTTATGTATGTATTGTATACTACTAACAAATAAAGATTATTTGAATTTGAATTTGAATACGGCCAGCAATAGATTTTTTGTAGCGCGCGCACTACTTTTTGCCGGTTTTACCCCCCTTATACTTCTCCCCAGGTACATAATGTTGATACTGTCGTGTCCGTTAAAGTGTCCTCTATCTGTTGGCATCATCGGTAATATGCATCGCGGACGTATTTTGCCGCAAAGCGGCCAGCAATAGATTTATTGTAGCGCGCGCACTGCTTTTTGCCGATTTTGCCCCCTTATACTACTCCCCAGGTACATAATGTTGATACTGTCGTGTCCGTTAAAGTGTCCTCTATCTGTTGGCATCATCGGTAATATGCATCGCGGACGTATTTTGCCGCAATACGGCCAGCAATAGATTTTTTGTAGCGCGCGCACTACTTTTTGCCGATTTTACCCCCCTTATACTACTCCCCAGGTACATAATGTTGATACTGTCGTGTCCGTTAAAGTGTCCTCTATCTGTTGGCATCATCGGTAATATGCATCGCGGACGTATTTTGCCGCAATACGGCCAGCAATAGATTTTTTGTAGCGCGCGCACTACTTTTTGCCGATTTTACCCCCCTTATACTACTCCCCAGGTACATAATGTTGATACTGTCGTGTCCGTTAAAGTGTCCTCTATCTGTTGGCATCATCGGTAATACGCATCGCGGACGTATTTTGCCGCAAAGTGGCCAGCAATAGATTTTTTGTAGCGCGCGCACTACTTTTTGCCGATTTTACCCCCCTTATACTACTCCCCAGGTACATAATGTTGATACTGTCGTGTCCGTTAAAGTGTCCTCTATCTGTTGGCATCATCGGTAATATGCATCGCGGACGTATTTTGCCGCAAAACGGCCAGCAATAGATTTTTTGTGGCGCGCGCACTACTTATTGCCAAGTTATTGCCAGGTTCACACAAGTATAAATTTCTTTTGTCAAGCTTGTTTATTAAGGATTAATTTTATTAGTTTTAGCGAATTTCCCTTTAGCGAAGTAGATAACCGTAGGTCTCATGGTAAGACCTAGGCCCGGGACTGATTTACTTTTTCATTTTGATGTCCCCAGAGGCCAAAAACACCCTTCGTTCAAATTTGTATATAGGTAGGCTAGGTATATATTTATAAGATATCTTTATAGAGATGTATATATGTCCGTCTGGACGATAACTTGAGTAATTTTTGTCCGATTTTAATAAAATTTGGTTTAAAAGTGTAAGGCGGGATAAACTTGAATGAGTTTAACGAGCAACGGAGTTTAACAGGGGTTTTTATGGGGTAAAAATGGGGTTTTCTAATTTTTTACCCTTAAAACACAAAATTTATTAATTTTTCTCCAGACCTTTTTGAAGAGCTTAAAAAAAAACAAATAATTTAGTATATCAAAGTGTTTTTATACGGTGATTGGTTACGGAGAAAATTCAAAAAAATTGTTAATTCAAAATTCCCATGATAAGTTATTTTTATGGAGAATATTGTAAAATGTTGTAGTTGGCTTGTTTATGGATATATTTTTATCAAACTTGGCAGATTTATTTATTTCATACTAACTTAAGCTATTGATATTTTGGTATTTAATAAAAAACACACTTTATTAGTTTCCCTGTTGCAGCTATAACCTAGCTACCCACTCTTTAAACATAGGCCTAAATGTTAATTTAAAAGATCAATAATTGAAAGTCAATCCAGGCAAATAGAAATTCGCTTAGTCGGCAGGTTTGCTGCAGCGGGGTATTTTGTTTTACATTTTTCAACTGAATGTATTTTGAAAGGTTAACTATTGCCAAATAAACTTAATGAAGATAAAAGTAGGCCTAGTAACCTGATATAATTTTTGTATGATTAGTCAATGAATAGTCATCAATTCCATCTTAAAACAATTAAATATTGTGATTGATTTAGCCAAAAAACAAATAGGCCTACACACTAATTTTGGCTTACATTGTAGTTGAACAAGAGACAACATGGCATGCTACTTATCGAGGTGCTTTGTTACATAGTACGAATTTACTACCTTAACAATTCAAATTAGAGTTGTCGTCTATGTTTCATGAGAAAACTGTGAATTTTATGTTTCTGCTGATAAGTAATGTTTTGATTTAGGCCTATTGAAATTATGGTTTTATCGTCAAATGTCAGTTAGGCCTAAGTAAGTAAATCATCATAAGATATTTAGGCTATTTATCAAATCGATATTCTATTTTCTATGGGTATGCCACAGTCTCACTTTTCAGGCTTAATGATTAGGCCCAGGCATTTTACCCAATTTACCCAACTATAGCCTATGGGCCGTAGTCCTACATGTACATTAGTGAAAACAATGCTTTTAAATATCCAACCTGAAAATAAACTCCTTAACTTAAGTGAACAAACACTACATAACTTAGGCTAGCATTGGAGTTACTTACCATAGACAACCAATAACTTTTAACAAGAACTAACACACTAGGCCTATATTAATATTAATGATCTAACTATCATGACTATAACCTATAGCACTAGAATAAACGCTATAAGGTCAATAATACTAGACTGACGGAGTCTGGAACTTATTTATAAGCCCAAATTACAAATTTTATGTTTGTCTACTAGTTTTCTTGGAAAAATGGCAGGAAGTATTCAGCTTCAAGACTTCCCTCCTGGTCCTCTTGATGAGTATCGGAAAAAAGCCTCGTTTGACTGGAAGAAACTAAAAATTCTTATTGAGGATGAAGTCATTTTGAAAACTAAGGTACGTAGTTTTAGAGGTTATTACAGAAGTAAAAGTAAAATAAAAAAAGTTGCCTAAAATATGTTAAGAGGAGTTATACATAAAAAAAACTATAACAGAAACTTACTTGCAGTCATAACGTTAACTTGTGCCTTAGTCAAAGTCTAAAGTCCATTCACCGGAATCTTTGCGGAATTAAGTTATTATCATGACACATTTTTGTCACTACAGTAAGGCCTAATAAGTTAATAAGTATTCTAACTTACTGTCCATTATTGTTCTGTAAAACATTTGAATATCAATACACTACTATGTAGTAGTAGACACACTTTTGTCTCTTATTTAAGTTGTAAGTTCCCTATTTTATTTAAAATGACAAAATAACTTGATTCAGTTGGGCCACCAACAAAGTACTAGTGTCTAGATACTCAGAGCAACGAGTCAGCTCACCGGAGCAACAGTCGGGGCTGCACAATTTTTATTTCAGCTGCAGTTTTTTAATACAAGAGTGAAAATTTAAATACGTACGTTTTCATGTCCCTGGCCTTTTACTTCGTAGATACTGGATTTGTAGTTTATTATTATGTATTTTAATATTTTTTGGGACGGGGGCAACATGTTACACACATTTATTTGGTTTTAAATAGGTTCTAGGTATTTTTTTCGTATTTTTAAAGTCTCGAAATTCACGACCATGACGTGTCCCTAGGGTACATTTTCCAACTTTCACGCTGTTTTTAGACTAATTATTTATGCCGAAATATATCAAGCCATATTTTTATGTCATCAATAGTTATTAAACTTACAAAAAAGGAGCATATTATAATTTTAGTGTCATTGCAAACTGACTACCATGACAAAATAAGTCTGTCCCTCGATTTGGCGTCACGACCATTTGGGAAAAATTTTCAACTTTGGAGCACGACAGTGGCAAGCCTGGCGTCGATTGCGTCAGTTCGCTTTAGAGACTAGTTCGGGGTGTACGTCAAGTTTGTTGTGCCGGTTGTTTTGTGTTGAAAGAAGTAGTTACAAGATTAATAAAGGTAATTTTGTGTTTTTTGTAATTTTGGTGTGTCCATGACCATACATAGTCATTTGATGAAGTAGACGTGGGGTTAATTTTTGTTGATATGATATTTACATTGCTACATTAACCTAGAAGTCCACTTTGTAATCTCGAACATGAGGTGCAGGGCTACCGCCAGAACAGAGCCAAATAACACGTAATGTCCCGACCAAAGTTTCACGACCATCGCGGGTTTTTTCACGACCAATCCAGCCTTATGGATTATACTGTGTTTGGTCGTGACAATAACTTAAATATCATTGTAAATTGAACAGTTTAGTTCAATTGAAACACATATTTTTACTATAACTAACAGTATAGTTGAAGGATTGTTTACAAAGATTTAATTTTTTTCAGACAATTCACGACCGTACCGCTTGTCCCTGACCATCACGTTGATGATTTCTATCATAAAAATTTCAAAAATTAAAATATCATCATATTTCAATGTTTTATACACAAAAGAAGTACACCTCTATAAAAACATAACGATTTTTCGGGTCTCAGGTAAGTTTTTTCGGAGTTATACAAACTTAAAAAGATTTTATTGGCTTTTTTTCAACTTTTTGAGTTTTTTTATTTTTTTCTAGAAAGACCATATATACCAAAAGCTTAGTGAGCTGTTTATTGTATGATGGTCATAAAAGTAAATTAATTAATAGCAAAACATAGTTACAAAAATAATATTAACTATTTTTAATATTCAGTTTGATGTCCGTGATGGTCGTGACATAATTTCGTGTTTTTCCATCAAAGATGCTCTATTAATAAAAAATCACCAAAGATATTGCGTTACCATGGACATTTTATGAAACTTCAAATGTCAATGAAATTAAAAAAATAAAAAAAGTTTCAAAAAACGGAACAAGAAATTTTAAAAGTGCTTTTCCTGAAAACGTACGTTTTTAAATTTTCACTCACAAACAAAATGAGAGTTTAAAATTAGAAATAAAAAAATATTATAAAAACTAAAAAAATATAAAATTAAATTTTTAATTATAAAATTAAACTGTCATAACCTAACCTAACTAACCAAACTTGCTGATAATGAAAAAATTGAATGAAGGTTTACTAATCGAAAACATAGTTCTGTTCATAAAATAAAACTATAAATGCCTCAAATTCAATTTTATAATTTTTTAAATTATAAAATTAAACTGTCATAACCTAACCAAACTAACCAAACTTGCTGATAATGCAATAATCTTAGACAAAAAGTTTGTGCCATCGATGGGATTCGAACCTGGTACCATCAGACTCTCAGCCCGGCACGCTATCCATTTGACCACCGAGGCCGATGGCTCAAAACCGTATCGTTGTGGTACTGGTGTTCCCTCAGCCAATAGAATGCTCTCATTTTGTTTTGCTCCGGTGAGCCGACTTGTTGCTCTGAGTATCTAGACGCTATACCAACACAGTATGTTGTTGTAACTGTTTAGACATTAACAACTGAAAAGGCTACTCCTTACGAGCTCTAGCATCTTTTATGTCCTTATCATAGCATGAAAATATTAAATTGAAAAAAAAATTGAATAGAAGCTTGCTTTGCGTTCATTTTTATAACAATGCCTTGACCTAGTTATGAAAAAAAATACCACTGATAGGATACCTAGAGGTTACTAATGATACTAGTTCACCAGTCTTTCTTACAAATTTGATTTAGTTGGAGGTGTGGAAACGAATGGAAGAAGACCCACTCTTCCACCATTGGACTGAGACTCCGCCATTAGAGGAACAAAGGAAGATTGAATCTTTGCGGATGTTGAGGATCAAACAGTGGAATGTTTTGACGCTGGAGGATGTGGTGGAAGATATAAGGAAGGTAAAATGTTTCATACAATTTAAATACGTCTATTGTCAATCTATGTTCACATACAATAAATCATACTTCATACTTTTTTAAGTGAATTTCCCTATAGGGAAGTAGCTACTGCCGCAGGTGGAATGATAAAAATTGTGATGATAATTGTTGGGCACAGTAAGACCTAGGCCCGGAACCGATTTACTTTTTCATTTTGATGTCCCCAGAGGCGAAAAACATCAAGTGTTTCGTTCAAATTTATATATGTCCGTGAACGCGATAACTTGAGCAATTTTTGTCCAATTTTGATGAGATTTTGTTTAAAGGTGAAAGGCGGGATAAACTTGAATGAATTTGCATACCAGCATGATTGGACCATGGGAACGGGGTTTTATGTGGTAAAAATGGGGTTTTCTCATTTTTGTCCCTCATAACACCATTTTTTTTAATTTCTCAAGAGCTAAAAATAACAAATAATTTATATACTAAATTATTTGTTTTTTTTTTTAGCTCTCTCAAAGTGTTTTTGTTTGGTTATTGGTAACGGAGAAAATTCCAAAAATTGTAAATTTAAAATTTCCATGTTATTCTTATGGAGAACATTGTAAAATGCTGTAGTTAGCTTGTTTATGGATATATTTTGAATGTTATTTATCAACTTATAACTAAACCAATCATTATCTATTAATTGTCCATCAATGATTACAGTAAGTATTGATTGTTTTTTTTTTTTTTTTTCTTAAGATAGCTAGGCTACATTACTGTTTATTTACACATATCCCTACTTATTGTGAACCCAAAAAAAAACTGATTTTGTCACTTCCAGGTGAGAAAGATATAAAAAATCGTCACCAACCATATATGTTATCCGATAAATATCTTGTTTGCCAAGCTACAAGTTTTTTTTTTACTTTTTCAGTTTGTCGCAGTGACAACAGTGCTGTTCAGCTATTCCCCCTCGTTGGCCCTTAAGGTGCAACTGACATTCAACATGTTCCAAAACTCGATGCTGGGGATGGGCTCAGAGCGGCATTTCAAGTTCTTTGAGGCATGCGAGAAGAGTGAGCCGGAGGTACAGAAATACTTTGCACAACATCGTGTTATGATTACAAGAGTTTATTCAACTTCCTATAGTCATTTATCCTAAATAGCTGTTGAACTTTTGTATTACTTTCACATAGTCTAATGGGTTTTAGGAAACATTCTTAACTTCTAATAGATCATTATACTATTTTTTTATTGTTTCACCTTTACATCCCAAGATGCTAGGTGGTAGCCAGGAACTGTTTTACACATTATTTCTGGCTAGTCCTAGAGTGTCGTAGCATTATCAAATGGATAAAATCCATCGGTAATTGGTGGGATTTGAACCTGGGACCTCAGGTACTGAAGCCCTGAGCTCTACCTCTAGACCTGCTTGCTCCCCAATGCCATATATAGTAGAAGTCTACTGTATGTTAACTCTCCTATTCAATAGTGTTGAGTAGCAGCCTTTGTTTTCTTTTTGTAAATTTTATTTATTTTAACACAAAAACATGCTGGGTGAAGCATATAATGTATTTTCCACCTTTTCGATTCCACTAAACACATTATTGATGATATATTTTTTCTACTAAATAGTCTAGTCAAACTCTTGGTGCGAACAATTTTAACTTTTTTATGTAAATTTAATTTAATGTGAATGGAATCATAACTTTTTTTGTACGGTAATTGATCTTATTTCTCTGTGTTGGAGAATGATATATAATTTGATTTGACTGCAACTGTTACTATTGTGCTAGGTTACCGGATGTTTTGCTCTGACGGAGTTCTCCCATGGGACAGACACCAAGTCAATGCGGACAGAAGCTCGTTATGATCCTAAGACACAAACGTTCGTTCTAAACACTCCAGACTTTGAGGCAGCCAAGTGTTGGGTAGGCAGTCTTGGTAAGTGAACTCTAATTTAAACACTTCTTTTGGTAATCGGAGGATATTTTTGAAACATTTTGAGTAGCCTAATAAATCATGCTGAAAATCGTGTCCATTGGTGCTAGATTACTATGGTTAGCCATGCTTGATCAGGAGAACACGGATTTGGGTTTGAATCCTGTCTATATGAGATCCTGGAAAATTTTCCAAGGCCGCATTTATTTAAAGCCAGTTGGCGAGCAGGTTAGTGGCCTCTGTTAACTTAAATACACTAGAGTAAGGTAACCTGTCTACTGGACTCGTGTAAACGTAGCTTAAAAGATTGTGGAATCTAGATAGCCCATGAGCAGTTTGCATAGCTACAATAGCAGAGCTTGGAAGGAGAAACCTGCCTAAAAAGTTACAGTAGACTCCCTCTAGTTCGGCCACCTCGGAACCGGACCACTGGCCGGACAAACCGAATGTAGTGCATTTTAAGTATTTTAATCATGATATGTTAAGTCATTAACCTTGGTGCAGTAATAAAAACTGTATCGTTTGAAATAACGCTTACTCAAGCAAAACAAAAATTTCACAACACCGTGCATACAGCAATAAATCACGTAAAGAACAGAATAGAAATTCTAGTACTGCAAGCTACTGCTACCTTAGTCAGCATAGGCTACTACTAAATGTTGTTTCAGAACACAAGAATGTTGATAAAAACATTAAATAACTCATAAACAGCATAAAATTATAATACTTAGTCTTAAAGATAATAAGTAAAGTCGTAAAATATGATAAAGATAACAATGGATGACGTTAAATACCGCTTATTCTTTGTTCTTTGTTCTTTGTTTGTCTATTCTTTCTTTGGTTTCTCTTCATCCACACATGCAACAAGTTGCCACGGACTAATCACCCAATCACAAACTGTTGTGAAATAGCAAGTGCACAGCAGACATCAGTTGTGTAAAGAGCAGATGATTGTCAGTGCAAGCGGATAGCTTGACCTTGAAGCTAACGACTATTTCTTTGTTTTGCAAATAAACCGTGGTGTTTCAAAAACAATAATGGGGGAGGGAACCTACTAGATAAAAAATGTTCTGAAATATTTAATTTTACACTGCATTTCAACATATTAGACTGAAGAAAAACTATTTATTAAAGGTTTTTGGTATTTTTGAGGTTATGTAACATAGTTTTACATAGGTGGTAATATGCAACAATTCACCCATAGAAGCACCCGTCAACTAAATTGACATGAATTGTTTACTCATGGCGGGAAACTAAAGATTTAAGTTGAATCCTGTCAAAATTCATTCGCCCGCGACGATATGACTTGTCCTCCTGAGACCGGGCCGGACCATACGGCGGCCGATCCAACCGAAGCCGAACTAGAGGGAGTCTACAGTATTTCACTTTTAACAATTTCAATTTCATAAAAAAAAACTAGGATAGCTCAGAATCCTTACTGTGTGTGTGAGCCCTGAAAACAGATTTTTAGTCATTTTGATTTTTGTACTCATAAAATAGAGTTAATTAAAAAAGTAAATTACATAAGTTTAAATAAAAGTTCATTAAAGTTTAACATAACAAGATAGGCTAAAGACAGGGTTAAATCTTTGACTATTGATATAACTTGACATTCAATCCCCATGTTAGTCACCAGTTTTTTTAACCAAAATCCTCGTAGTTGTGAGCCACCAACAGATTGCTGATATAAATTTACTGATCCCTGTCAAATATACAAACTTTTTACCAAGTCAAACTCATAGAATGATTTATTGTAAGCTATAGCAACTCTGTTACGACCCATGTCAGCAACAAAAAAGGCATAAAATAGAATTTTAGACACTAGCACATTCTTTTTTAATAAAAAGTTGGGGACAGCTTGTCCATATAGATAGGATGTATACAATAGGTAATGGTTAAAGCCACTTACTGGAAAAAACTTCATAATTGTTGTGTTAAGTGTGTTATCTCTCTGCAGATTGATGACTCATGTTAAACACTGAAGGTACTATCTCACCTGATACAACAACAATCATGTAATGCCACTGATAAGCAAGGTTAAATGTAAACCTCTAAAGATTATAAATATTTAACTTGTTTTTACTGCATTCTGATTATTATTTTTGTCTGCTATACTAAAAAAAATATTATATTCAGTATTTATATTTAATATAATTTTTTTTTTAAAGTTAATGATAAAATATTCATTAGTTTTCTAATAAAATTGTTCATTACAATCAAGATATTCGGGACCTAAAATAGTAGGCCTATTTATCTCAATTTTCTACTTTCATTTACTCCCATATAAGGAAATTCACTCCCATTGAGTCTCTGTCCAAGACTGTACTAAATGTGATAACTCGACTAAAACATAACTCCATGTATCACAAACAATTTTTGGATCAGGTTTAATTATTGCTCTATAGTCTGTATCGAGCAACAATAAATCTGTTAGCTGTTTGTGGTATTCAGCGCCCGATTGTTCTCTGTGCGTTTGTCTCTACCATCTAGTAAATTGGCTTACCTTCAATCGAGACAAATCTGAGAACTTTATGTAGGTACAAGAATAAATATGGGGATTTTCAAAATTCCTATCTATAATTTCCAGGTTATGATCCAAAACCTTTTTTCTTGTTTGAATTTTCCTAGTTAACATTTATTGAAATAACGATTCAAATTTAATTTCCTATGGTGAATTATGTAATCAGCTTATTTATTACACTCACTACCAAGACAAAAACTATTTAAGTGATGCCACACAAATTACAAACCTATCCACTATATCTTTTCACAGGAAAAACTGCAACTTATGCAATTGTTTATGCCCGGCTGATCACTCCTGATGGAAAAGATCACGGGCTGCACGCGTTTGTTACTCCGATCAGAAACCCACGCACTCTGAGGCCCTTCCCAGGTGTGCTGGCGGGGGATATGGGCGAGAAGGCGGGGCTCAACGGGGTTGACAACGGGTAAGTGACGGTGGGTATTGATTCTTGGTCAATGCTACTATATCAATAAGATCGGGCCTTTTGACTAAGATGATGTCAATGTAAATATGCAGGATTAATTACGAAAAGAAACATATAGGCCTAAACGTTACTACTAAATCAGTACTTTCAGTTTCAGGTTAGTTTGTATTTGGCTATACAATTATTTGACATTGTCAAAGTATTCAGTTTAATAGGTTTACTGCATTTAAATTATTACCTAAGCAGCAAACCTGTAACCTTTGGGGTTTTTTTAGGTTCGTGATGTTCAACCATTACCACATTCCACGTGAGAGTTTGTTGAACCGAGGGGGTGACGTGACAGCAGATGGAAAATATATCAGCCCGTATAAGGACTCCAACAAAAGATTCGGTAGGTTATTCATAGTTGATTGGTAATAAAGAAAATAAGTATGTTAACTAATCGATACAATTTGTGGGAGGTAAAAACATTGACTTTGAATATTGCAAGTACAACAGGACACTAATTATCCTATTAGGACTGTACCACATTGGGATGGGCAAATATTTTGATTGTTAGATATTTACTGAAATTCAGGGTATGTTGGCGTAAAATACTACTAAAATTAATCCATGGAATGGACAGAGTAAATAGAATAAATACATTTTCAAAGCAGAAAATCTTCTAGGCAATGATAAAATTAGATTTGTTGATGTTAGCCTCCGGATTACATTGAATATATAAATTGGTTTAAATACCTGCTTCTATGTTATTCAATAGTCGCAATTAATGTCACGCAAAAAGTTTCGACTTCATGAAGAAGTCATCCTCAGGTGTCCAGTGGATGTCAAAATAATCACTTCATCAGAAGGTCACATTATGGTAAATTCACACACAAACACGGACATAGTTACATAAAAAGGTACATTTACAATGAGAATAAGACAAGTTAATGGTAACTTAAGGATGATGCATCACGATCAGGCGAATGTGACGTCTAGACTGTGAGTCTTTTTATGTAACTATGTCCGTGTTCGTGTTTGTGTGCGTGTTTGTGTGTGAATGTACCATAATGTGTATCGACGACCTTCTGATGAAGTGATTATTTTGACATCCACTGGACGCCTGAGGATGACTTCTTGATGAAGTAGAAACTAGTTACATGACATTAATTGCGACTATTTAAATTTAGATGAAATTAGTATTATTTTTTTAACGTGACTATTGTTCTTGATTGCTTTATTCTGTTGTAGGTGCCGCTCTCGGAATGCTGTCCCAAGGAAGGGTTAGTATTGTATGCATTTGTGTGGCATACCTCAGCAAAGCCGTGCCCATTGCCATACGATACTCGGCTGTCCGTAAACAGTTTGGAGCAAAGAATCAGGAACTTCCAATCATAGAATATCAGTTGCAGGTGAGTTTTCAATTTATAACTTTGAAGTTGTTGTCTGTTTGAGAAGTAAAAGTTTGTGTAATCAAATGACAGAACATGCCGCCGTGAATATATATTTTTATTTTACTCTTTTTAATAGGTACCCTTTTTAGTTGTGTTAAACTGAAATGGCAACTTACTTTCCATTGACTATTGAATACTGAACCAGAAATACCATCTGAAAGGACCAGCTGTTGCCATTTTTTTTAAGAACTTAGTTCTGTATGTCAGTCACACATTGCACTAGTTTCTAAGATTATATTATTTAAGTTATTTTTCGTTGCTGAGATAGTTGATGTGACGTAATAGATGCTATAGCTTACAATTAGTCGTTCTATCAGTTTGACTTGGAAAGTATGAATATTCTTGACTAACATTGACTTGATAAACAACAGACACGCCAATATGTAAATTTAAATAATCTACAAATGCTAGAAGTATATTTCAAACTCCTTTGCTGGTTATTTATTTATTTCATATATTATTTCATCCATGCTTCTCCTTCCTTTTCCCTTCTTCTAATCCCAGCAAATATCGTCCTGACATTTATATTCTGTTTGAGCAGATTGTGCAGTTGTAACTACTCTCTTGACGTTTTCTTTTTCTTCTGCCCTATCTGAAAATAGACATAGGTTACAGCCAGCAGCAGTAGCATTGATTTTAAACAGTGCAATTGGACTTATCCTAGATTGTAAAATCTAAAGCTTGTTTTGATACAAGTTTCTTGTTTGTGGCAATTTAGTGTACTGATTTTAGGTTAGATTTTAATCAACGAAACTCTCGATGCATTAATCGGATTATTTATGTATAATCAATGGTAATAGCCTCTAAGCTATTTTCATCACAGGCATAATGGCAGTTTTCATTCATTATCGTTTCAGTACCGTTTTATTGTATTGTAGCTGTAGGCTGCAAATTTTAAAGTTTAATAACACCAAAGTTTATAGTTTTTTTTTTTTACTCTTCTAATACATTTAGCAAACATATTGTTTATTTACAATGTAAACTTAACTACCTTCAATCACTCCAAAATTAAATTTTTTTTGTCTGTTAGGAAAGAGTTGGTAAAATGTCTACCTATAGTAAAATTTTATCTACAACCATCTTTAAGGAGTTTCTCTTACCTGATTGCTCTGCAGGTGAGAAATCGTAATTTTTCTCTATGTTGTTCTTGAAGTCGTCCACTGAGTGGTCTAAATAGTCTAACGTTAAAGACAAGGTGAAAGTTGTCCAGATGATGAATCCCATGAACAACACGGATCCAAATCCAATCATTGTGATTGCCAACAAAAATGGAAGGACTGAAATAAAACATGTCATTAAAGAGTTTCATTTTTTCTAAAAATGGTTTAAGAGTTTCATCACAAATAGGAGGCAACAAGTAAAAATAAACAATGACTACAGTAATCCTCTCATTGTACAAACGGGTGTGCCCCAAGGGTCAACGACCTCAGGTATTTTATTTTTAGTGTTCATCAACGATTTATTAAATCTACCTTTTAACGGAAATAGGCTATCTTTGCTTTTGCTGATGACATTGCTCTTTTTTACACACAAAACGATTTGATGTTGATGGAAAATTTAATAAACAATGATCTTTTACTTTTAAGAAATTGGTGTTTGATCAATAGAATGCAGGTAAATGTAAACAAAACCAAATTTGTTAATTTCCACTCAACCGGTTTTGAATTGCCATCTCCTTTAATTTTTCACTCCTCAAATTGCAGTCCACAACTATGTAATTGCCAGCCGTTAGAAAAAGTAAAATCTATAAAATATTTAGGAGTTCTACTCGATGAAAAAGTCACCTTCGAACCTCATATATTAAATCTACATGCTAAGATACGAACACAAATAAGAAAATTTTATTTTTTAAGAAATTTTTGTAACGAATCACTTTTGAGAACATTATACTTTGCACTAATCAACTCAAGATTGCAATATGCCTTGCCATGCTGGGGAGGAACTTATAAAACCTTGATAAATAGATTAAGAACAACACAAAACTTTTTTATGCGGATAATTTTGAAACAACCTAAAAGAACAAGTTCATTTCCACTCTACCAACAGTTAAAAATTTTGCCCATACAGCACCTTTTTGTTTTCAAAGTTCTTAGACTGTTTTTTGTTCGAAGTGGAAACAGAGTTAACGTCGTACCAAATATTACACACACATACATAACAAGAAGCATTACCAATAATACTCTGAAACTACCCAAAGTAAATAAAGCTATTTTTCGTCACTCTTTTCAATATCTAGGTCCAAAATACTATAATTATCTACCACTTCAAATAAAGAATAGTTTAAATTTAAAGCATTTTAGCAAAGCAACGATAATTTGGCTTTCTTCTCAGCAGGACATAAATTATATCAATAATATCCTGTTGTAATAACTTTCATTGTTTATTAAAACAGTTCTTGTTTTGTCCATCAGATGCACAGTTCAGGCGGAATTCAATGTTTTATAACAGATGCTAGACCATAAATTACAACGTCATGTTAGCCGATAAGTTAGTATAAGCAAACTGGTTACACTACTGGATCAAGTAGCCAGTTCTATTTCTCTACATCTCATGTATTGTTACATTGTGGTTTTTTGTGGGAAATAAACTTCATTATTCATTATTCATTATTCATTATTCATTAATAACATTGTTTGGCGGAATTTAAAAATACCATTCTGATATTTACGTAACAATCCGTTCACACTTGTGTTTTGTAAAAAAATATGTACCGTAATGCTTGTAAATAATAGTGTTTAGACCTAAAAATCTTTGGTGGAGGTTGAAACATTTTCATGAATACAGTAGAACCCCTCATATCCGGCCACCACGGTACCAAGTCCCTGACCGGATAAGGATTTGGCCGGATAAACCAACCTACCATGAAAATGACGATTCATACCTAATAATAATAGGTAATCAATATATGCAATCAAAAGTATCATTTAATTCTGTTCTGGGATAATTTTTAGAAAAATAAACATGTTTGTAAAAAGAAAAAAAAATATTTGTAGGTTGAAGTCATTAAGTAATGGATGTACAAATATTACGATTCCAGGTAACAAAACCTATTAAATGGAGGTAAAAATGACAATAAATTGTACTTAAAGATCATTAGGACTTAAATGGTACATGCATTTCTACTCAACATTCTTAACCATTTTGTGAAATACAAAAATTAATGTACTCGTACTGTACTGTACTAACCTTAGTAATTAGGTCTAAAGTTTGATAGTAACCAAAACATAAACAAAAAAAAACCTTGGGTCACTAAAGGTATTAAAATATCTAGTGTAAGAAAAAGAGAACTAAGCAGATTGGCTAAAGAGTCAAATAATATTGACTTATTAACTATGTTAAAGAGTACAGAAAGATTTTTAGACAAGTGTGTAATAAATATAAGAAATCATGTAACGCTAGTTTTATAAAAGACTCAGAATATAAAAGTAAGGCTGCTTGGGCTATTATCAAAGCTGAATTGGGTTTGGGAAAGAGTCAGTCTACTTTTCCCAATATAAAGGTGGCTGATAAATCTCTTACAAATGCAAAGGAAATTGCTGAATATTTTAACAACAAATTTATAAACATAACAAACCAAATTGGATTGTCCTCTTCTGAAAGTGAGGCGGTACAACTAACAATAAAGGCAATGGATGAAAGACAGACCCCTAAATTTTACTTTCAATTTATTGACGTGAAGGATGTTATTAAAATTATTAAATCTTTCAAAAATAAGAAATCATCAGGGTGGGACGAAATACCACTAAATTTGGTCAAAAATGCTTCTAAATTCATTGCAGAACCACTCTCTATAATTATAAATCAATCATTCCTCAATAGTAGTTTTCCTGAACACTTAAAATATGCTGAACTAAAACCTCTTTTCAAAAATGGAGAGAGACATAATCCAGACAATTATCGTCCAGTCTCACTTTTACCGACATTCTCTAAAGTTTTTGAAAAATGTGCTTCTTACCAAATATCTTCTTTTATGGAAACCCACAATATTTTGTCTAACAAACAGTTTGGGTTTAGAAAGGGTCGAAGCACCATGAGAGCGCTCTCAGACTTTGTTGAGGAGGTGTCATGGGCCTTGGATGAGTCGCATAGCACAATGGGGGTGTTTTGTGACTTATCCAAGGCGTTTGACTGTGTCAATCATGATATCCTCATTAAAAAACTAGAGTCGTATCCCTTTTCTGGAAATTCAGTGTCATGGTTGAAATCTTACTTAAATAATCGCTATCAGAGAACAGTCATTTGTAAAGATAATTTAAAAGTAAAGTCAGAGTGGCAAAAAATTAAAATAGGTGTGCCTCAAGGTTCGATTTTGGGGCCTCTTCTATTTCTTATATATATCAATGATCTTCCAAAAAATGTTTCAAATAATCTAATTCTGTATGCAGATGATACTACTGCAGTAGTTAAAACAAAAAACAATGAGGGATTAAAACATAAAATTGAAGAAAGCCTAACCGAATTGGGGAAGTGGTTTGAGATCAATGGATTGAAAATGAATGAAGAGAAAACCAAATTTGTAAGATTTTGTACACCTCAATCAATGGCACTCACTGATCAATCTCAACCAACTGATGATAATGTAAAATTTTTAGGGCTATATATTGATAAACACTTGACCTGGAGTAAGTGCATTCAGTCGGTAATTGGAAAATTAAATTCAGCCTGTTTTCAAATGTTATGCTTAAGAAATTCTATAGACCTAAAAACTTCTGTCATGCTCTATTATGCTTACTTTTATTCAATAGTACAGTATGGAATTGAATTTTGGGGGTTCGCCTCTGAAATTGAAAAAGTTTTTAAAATTCAAAAAAAGTTTATAAGAATTATGACTTTTTTACCATGGAAATCTGCGTGCAAAACAGTTTTTAAAGAATTGAATATTATGACTATTCCAAATTTGATTATTTACAAAACATTGTTAGCGGTGCATTCAAATTTTGATGACTACATTAGCGAAAACTTTGACCACATATATAATACTAGATTTAAAAATAATTTCCAATATCCGAGACACCGACTGAAGCTTGTAGAAAAAACACCTAAATACATGGGAAAAAAACTTTCCCATAAATACATGGGAAAGCAGATACCCAAATGGCGGCATGAGAGTATTTTTAAAGCATGATGCTAGACTCAAAATATATTATAATTTATTGTATTTATTTGTTCTAACTGACCGCACTACTTGAAAAGCGGCCAGTCAATTTCCAATACTGTAAATGCATGTAATAAGTTTGTTCTCAATGGAAATAAATTCATTTATTCATATTCATTTATTCATTTAAAACTTTTTAATAAACTACCCTCAACTCTAAAAAATGTAATTAATAATAAATCTTTTAAAAGCAGCCTTGCTGATTTTCTGATTAGCAAAACGTATTACAGTGTTAATGATTACCTCAATGAAACTAACCAATCAATATGACTCTATTTTGTATGACATAGAAACTAATTTTTTTTTTCTGTCATCGTTTAACAAATTTTGCCAACTTGTTTACAAACATTTTTTATGCATAAGACATATTGTTGTACATTAGGTTAAGTTAGTAATAATCTTGACAATGTCATCTGTTTTTTAGCTGTGCTATGATTTTAAACGTTGATGTGACAATAAAGAATTATTTATTTATTTATTTAACCCCACTTTGGAAATAATCAACCAACTGATAAGAGGTTAGGCCTCCTAGCTCAACTGAGTATAGTGACTCAGCAAAAAAATGTATAAACAAACAGATAAATAACGAGAACAATTTATTTTATGACTTCATCAGTCACAAAGACTAGTGCTTGCATCTAAACGTCTGTAAGCTGTGAGAAAAAAATTTTGATATTGGCTTCCTGGAAGGGGCCGGATAAACAGAGGACCGGTAAAACCAAGGCTGGATATGAGGGGTTCTACTGTAGTCAGTACCCTAGCTAATTATATACGTACCTTTAATTCATAAGAATAAGAATAAGAACTTTATTCAGCCAGAAAATATTTCATGCAAATACATTGCCACGTCAATTTTATAAATAAATAATACTAGTGAACCTGTGCGGCTCAATGCCCCGCAAAATAACATATGAATTTAGAAAACAAATTCGAAAACAAAACAAATATTTTTTTTATTATTTTTAATGATATATATATTTATATATTTTAATAAATATATATATATATATATATATATATATATATATATGAATTTGAACGGATGGTGTTTTTGACCTCTGGGGACCTCACAACGAAAAAGTAAATCGGTCCCGGGTCCAGGTCTTACCATGAGACCTACGGTAATAGCTTATTCGCTTATTCGGTATATGGGAAATTCGCTAAAAGAATCAAGTTATATGTAAAAAAAACTATGTTTGTGTAGCAATATTATTCACTTGAAGTAGATGACTTTTTTGATTTGTAGATCAGCTGTTTTGTTTAAAATTATTTAATAATGTCAAAGATTTGTGATTTTAAATACATAAATTATTATATAATAGTAAAGTTGTCTAAAATCATGGTAACATATTCTCAACTAAATTCTACTATTCCCAACATTAAAATAAAGTAGTAAGATCCATTATGGGTAAACTTTAAGGTACACAATCCTTGATTGAAATGTAATATACATTAACAGTCATAATACACAGAAATTATTATGTAGTAGACTTTGACTATTTTCAAGTAACAAACATATGTTTCTGTAAATAAAAATCATCTCCCATGTTATCCTTATGGAGAAATATGAAACTTTAAAGGGCTCCAGAGCCTCACTCTCTAATTATTTCCCTAAAAAGAAAGTTTCCTGCACAACTTCACGTTAAGCTCTTTCCAATGACACCAAAAACATGTCAATCGGTTCAGTAGTTTCGGAGGAGTAATTGTCACAAAAAACCTGCTTGCGTATTAAATAAGTATAGATTCAACAGAAGTCCTTAACAGTCCATTGTCTTGACATATACTCTTCTATAGAGTAAAAGGATCCTTTACATAGAAAATAATTTAATTTAATTTTAAAAGAATACAATACATACAAAAAGTGTACACACACAACACAAAGACAATACAACACAACACAAACACAAAGACAACACATCACAACACAACCACAACACAAGCAAAAACACTACACAAACACAACACAACACAGCAGAACACAGTGTAATGACAAAAGTGTAAATGCCGGTAATTAAAATTTACTATGATGTTAAATGTTTTTAGTTACCAACTCAATTCAAAACTGATTCTGTTTTTTCTCAAAATTCCCCCAAAAATACTAAAAAACTAACTACAATTTTGGGATAAGTTGATGCTATATTTACAGCCATCTGTATTTTTTTTTAATAAATGACATATTTTTTCCATGAATCTTGAGAACTCAGAAACTCTTGAAGTAATTATAACAAGTAATCCAAAAGCAATATATTCAATCAAATTATCTTTTTAATCCAACTTACATGAGACAAAAGTAATCTAGTGAGAGATTAAACATTTGTAGTATTGTATTTTTACTCACCCTCTAACCTACTTGTTCACTCTATTGAAGTTGAAAAGTATTTGGGATTTTTACTCATGTAGAAATCAGTTCTTTTGATAAGGGTCTTGTCACGGTTATCCATCTGAAATTCAATGAGTATATTCATTTGTAGATATAAAAGAAAGAAGTTGTAAATAGCTTCATGTAATATCAATCTCTATTGTTGTGTAGATTTTTACTATCACGTTATAAACCATACAAAGGAAACAAATGGATCAATATAATTTTGACTTGTAAAGAACTTGTTTTTAGTACCTAAACATCCACAGACAATAGAATAAACATAGATACGAAGATAATAACGTACCCACAACATTTTTAAAACGCCACACTTAATTTCAACCAGCATTGCAGAAAGTCATAAAGGCAATAAACTCAATGATGTCTAAAACATCATCAGATTTCGATGAAATATCAGCCAAACTATTAAAAATTTACTAAAATAATCTATGCCAACCTTTCAACATCATGATTGATAATTCCTTTGAACCAATTTCCCTTGTAGCCATTTGGGCATCTTTCCATTCTTCCTTAAACTTTAAGAAGTGGTTTTCTTATTTTGGTAGGATCTTTTATGGTTTTTACATTTTTCATAACTTTCTATTGTGTTTCTATCAGATTTTGTCTTCCTCCGGTCATTTATTATTTGCCGTAGGGATTTAGATTTGTTATCAGCTTTGCCTATATAAAGTTAGATTTTGTCTTACAACATTATCAATCGCAGATCATAGTTTTTTTCTGACTTACAGTAGACTCCCTCTTATCCGGACACACTTTAACCAGACATCGGTTTAACCGGACTAGATCGGCAAGAAGTGGGCGGTACTGACAAGACTGTTCTCGTGGGAAGGAGACCATTGATCACGTGTCTAAATAAAATGCTCTCCTAAATTTAAGTCAAATATGTATACGGTACCAGTCCGTTTTAACGAGTTTTGGGGGATGTCATCCGGACTGGACTCAGTCCCGAGGAGTCCAGGTAAGAGGGAGTCTACTGCATGTTTTAGCTTTGTCTTTAAGTTTACAAGATGTGCAACAAATATTGTGTTCAATTAAATAAATTTCCCCGTTTTACAGCAATGGAGGTTGCTACCATACTTAGCGGCTACTTTTGCTATCAAGAATTTCAGCGACCAACTATGTCGCAAGTTTGGAGAGTTTCAACTTCAGATAATGACTGGGCAAAACCAAGAAGAGGCAGTAAGTATTACAGAGGCTACTGTTTATTTGGTTGAATGGTGATTCAAATCAACAAACCATTTATTGATAATTAGCTGTTACCCATCGGCTTCGCCCGATATAATTTGGTGTTGTATTAGGCCTACTACTAAGAACCCAGTGAAGGCTGAGATTACCTTTTGCATTAATTTACTGTCTAACTGTCCTTTTACCAGGAGCTTAAAATCACTCCCCTTGGAACAACCTACATAATGTTTTTCACAAAAATACTATTCCTGCTGCATCTTAGAATAATTATAGGCCTATCCTTGAATATAATTTGAATATACTAGTTTGCCAGTAGTGCAGTTAATTCTCTTTTACTGCACTTTGACAGTTCTGCTTGGTTCAAATTAGCTGTTGTCATAAATTCAAACAAAAAATAACTGTGCCGCCTGTTGGTAAACCTTGTAACTTTGTAATGTTATCGAACATCATAGAACCAACTTGTTAAATTGAAACAGCTGTTAACATTCTTTAATTCTTTTTAAACTAGTGCACCTGTTGCTCGAATTCGAGCAATTGCAAAGTATTATAGGTGTTATTTCAAAACAAATAACCCTAACAGTCATGATAATTTCCTATGTAAAAGAGTCAACTCCAAGATAGTGTAATCAATCATTCCACTCCAGTTATCGAAACTGAAAACGAACTCACTCTGAAAACGATCACTCTTGTGTGTATCATGTGTTTACTATAAACGGCTGCAATTAATACAAATTATTCCTCTGTTTAAGTAAACAAAATCTTTTCTTCATAAGAAATACATTAGGATTTCGATGGCCTGTGGGGCAAAGTCCAAGGACTTTTATTACAGGAATTGGTGAAAGGGGCGTTTACAAAAAAACAACTTTATTTTGACACGTCGTTTGTAAAAATCCGTTCATTATTAACAGAGGAGTAGTGTTTCATAGAAATCGCCTTCACGTATTATTTAAGTTGGAGAATTAGTGATGAATGAGTGAGTGAGGGCTTTTACTTTTAAATGTTTAGATGAACTGGTTGCATTTCCTATAGAACATATTAACTATTTACCAACTGGTATTAAATTGGATGATCTGATTTATGTTTAATATTTTAAAGAAAGACCATGTACAATTTTTTAAGGAAGAGATATTATAGTTAGGATATGATTCAAGAAGCTTACCTGAGGTGCTTTCTTTTATAGACAGTAAAATGGATCGGACAAATATTTTTCCTAGTAAGTAACATCATAGACAAAAAGAATTAAATATATCAGCCGTGCTGCGGTTACCATGGTTACTGCTGGGAGCGCCATGTTGTTATGTAGCGTGTACGCCGTAACTACATGGCTCTCCCAGCAGTGTGCGCCAGAACCTATGGTAACCACAGCACAGCTGACGGTCTGGGTCTATATTTAATTCTTTTTGTCTATGGTAAAATTTAGGACTCCCTAAGTAAAAATTTCCCTGAACCTCAAACATAGAGATTTGAAAAAATTACCTGCTATTTACAATGTTCTATACAAAAAATTTAACTTTTTTTGTGGTGTGATTAAAATAATTTGGGAATTTTTAGGACGAGAATATTGGGATATGATATGTAAAATCTCTTAGATGTTGTCACAACTGGAATCAGTAGAAAACATGTATTAAACTTTTATGGTAATTTTTGGCAATCTTTGACTGGTGATTTAGGTTTGCCATTCTGTACAGGCTTTTTTTTTCTTTGGCTGAAGCACGGCGGCCCCTCCTAAACCCTTGGTCTAAGTCAGAGACATATTCACCAGGCCGCTTTCCTGGAAAACTTTGGAGTGCTCTCCTTTTGTCAGCTCCAATCCTCGTCTTTCAAGGCAAATTCTGTGCCTACCCAACACACCTGTTATCATACCACTCGGTACTAGGGCTAACATATATCTTCTTACTTTATTTAATTTCCCATTATTTTTCCCTTTTTAAACTGCAACCTGTCTCCCTACATCTTCTACTGCACGCCTCTTCTTCTGTACAGGCTGGGCTGGGGACAGAGTTCCACGTCATCTCCAGTGCTGCCAAACCTCTGGCCGGCTGGATTGCTCGAGACGCCATCCAGGAGTGCAGAGAGGCCTGTGGTGGTCATGGTTATCTCAAATGTGAGTGTGAGATGGAAATTTGAATATTTGTATTAGAGAAAATATACAGCATTTTAGATATGTAGTACATTGGAGATTTAGTATTGAGTCTGGTTTTCTTCCAACTGTCAGTGATTCTACCTCGATCGCAATAGACGATGATATCCCATTGATTGCGGGAAACGTCCACAATATGGGGTGGGGAGGAGGGTGTCAGTGATGACAGGGAGTAAACATAGGATAGGTAAACATTAAAAAATTGTTTGAATTGGCCTATTAAAGCTAAATACTCTACTGCTTTTCTATTGGCAACCCATATCAAGCCTTACAACTACACGGTTTTAAAAATTGCAGTGATTGTCGGTTCAAATAATTGTTTGTGGTTATCCAATAGTATATCATAATAACTGATGTTTCACAATTAAACTGCACCAAATATGATTTATTTTAGTTAAAGATTTTGTTATTTATGTAACTAATGTGTTTTTGACCCATTATTTGGGAGGACTGAGGAGGAATTAGTCCAAAAACACCCCCAGTTCTGTAGGGTTTGAGCTCCCTTGACTGAAACGTCCCGATTACGTCATGTCACAATCCATTTTTTTTTTTATCAAACAGTGTTACAAAGACTGCAAAATGATTTTGTTTGTCATTGCTATCTGAAATAATGTTTACTCAATATTTATTAAACATGAACCTTTTTCTGCACGGGGAAAAATCCCAACCTGTCCTGCCCCAAACCTGTCCATCGGTAACAGATATACAAACATAAACCACCTAACGAATTGTGGATATTTATAGGTATGCACTGTGGATGCGATACTCCTTGGTGTTGATTAACGTCTGCATGAGTGAGAACGACTATCCGCAGTACTTTCCTGAAAACTAGATCAATTAATTTGTATATACCAAGGCAAATTTGAATTCCACTATAAACTGTAGGTCCCTTAGTTGCCATTAGCTGTGTGGGCTATTAATTAACAGCTGTGTCTAAGGAGTAAGTCAGCCTTAGTCACTAACAAGACTACAAGATCACGCCACTCATCCTACACTCATCTCCATTCATACTTTGGCTTAAAATACCTACTTTTATGGTCGCCATTTCATTGAAAAGTAGGGGTGTGCGAGTATTCGAACATCGAGCTTTTTCGAGCCGAATAGGACGCTATTCGGCTCGGCTCGTGATTTTCAAAAAGTTCGAAATGTTCGAGCCGAATACTTATTGAACTAGCAAATAAAAATTAAATTAATAAATAAGGAACTAACTTTCATTTAAATTTACTCTCCTCCGTTTCATAATTGTGTCTTGATAAGCACGAACCTCAGCTCAGTCAAGACGCAATGATTATCGATCGTAATTTTGAGGAAACTACCACCTATCGCGTTGTCTTTCTAACACAACTATTCGTATCGTAATATACAACGCAGTGCGAGTGCGTGATTGGCTAAGTCGCTATGACGACACACGGTTGCCGTGGCAACCTACAGTGCGCACTGAGCACTGCGCCTTGTGTGGGAGGGGAGATTATACCAACAAACTATTTCAGGAATTCTATTTTGGGACGGATGAAAGATAAGGAAGAAACAAAAAGTGGTCACGTGTGCAAATGTAGTGGGCGAGACAATAAGGCTGTAAACGAGTATCGTCGTGTCGTTGTTCCTTGTTTGTTTACTTTTTCAGATTCCTTATCAAACGCCCCTATCTGCTATCTCTCTTTCTCTCTCTCTCCCTCTCTCTCTCTCTCTCTCTCTAACAATGTACTGATTAAACAGATTGTGGTTGACGACTTTTCTACTTATAAGTTTCCCTGCGGTTATTTTAGTTCAATCAATCCCATAACCTTTCTAATGTTTATCAAAATAATTAATTAATATGTTTTGTATTTTATTTCCTTTAAACCAACCCCTATTTACGATCTGTATTTTATAGAATAAAATGTTTGTTTTTAAAGTTTGACTGGCCACACAATTTTGTACCTATTTTATTTTGTATAAAGTAACAGTTACTTTGAGGATTATATATATATATCAATAAGTGGCGCGTGCTGTAATGAGTGCTTTTTATTATCAAAATAAGTAATGAGTTATTAATTTTTGATAGTACATGGGTCATTAAATACCATAATGTGATGTAGTTTCCTATTTGTATCTTGAAAATAATAATAACTGATAGTTAATTCTGGAAATGAAAAATAGTGATCGCATTCATAAACCTGTTGTCAAAACAGCAACGAGGGTGTAAGGGTTTATTGTTTCAGACGCAAGGGTGTTTCAAGGACAAAGTGTTGGGCCACCCGGATTGGGGGGGGAGGGGGCGGTGAGACTGTGTGAAGGGGAGGAAACTGGTTTTGGCTATTTATTGATTAGTTCCCCGACCCTTCTAGATAACAAAATTGAGTGACAGTGTTAAATCATTGTGTTCTGCATTTCATTTCTTGTTTACTTTGTGTGTTACTCTATTAATTCTAGTGCTTTGGTCTATTTCCTCTATATGTCAATTATATATTTTTTAATATATAAGTAAAACTTGTCTCTCCACCTTTTTGGATCCAAACCAACCATGTTCTTTTTTGATTAATAGGATTCATAAAACAAAAATATTTTGTGCATGGAAAACAACAAGAATAATCACGTGTTTTTAAATTAATTTTGTATTTATTTATACAAAATAGAATTAAATATTCATAGTAGTTACAATATACATATGTAATCGACTTGCTAGTTGTTTTGTCGTCATTCAAGGTCGCGTTGCTGTTCTGTTATGAAAGACAATCTGATTGTCTCAGTCTGCACTGCATATCTCTTCAGGCCTTCAATCGATATCCTTTTATTTCTTGCATCTTCATTTAGTTCAGTACAGTTCTTATCGTGATTATCTACTATTTGATGTCTTGACAATTCTCAATGTTTTTAAACATATTAAAATAACATTGTGTTTATTTAAAAATTGACTGAACATTATTATTATTATGCACTTTTTTAAGGAAAAAAGTATAATAATTAAGATAAGGTTACGCTAGGAAAAGCTCGGCTCGAAAAAGCTCGAGCTCGAACAATTTTTAAAAAGCTCGGCTCGGCTCGGCTCGAGGTTGAAAATCACTATTCGCACACCCCTATTGAAAAGTATTAAAAGTAAAGTATTAACACTTTTAACACTATAAATTTACTTTCCTCAGGTGCAGGACTTAGTGACATCAGGAACGACCACGATGCCAACTGTACCTACGAAGGAGACAACAATGTGTTGGTACAGCAGACGAGCAACTGGCTGGTCACTCAGTGGTCACAGAAGAACCTGTCTGTGTACGACACACCCATGGGGTCTGTGGCATTCATGCGTAACGCCCCGGTCATCCTCCAGTCTCGGTGGACGGCTAACAGCTTCGAGGAGGTGTGCGATTTACAGGGTGAGTGTGCTAAATCAGCAGTAAGGTTGGATAAGCAGAAAGGTCAGATAGCACAACAAATTATAAAAACTGAACTGTGTTAAAAAAATCATATATGTCAACAAATTAACAAATACACCACACGTTTTGTCACTTGTAGTGTGGTACGTAGAAGTCGAAAACTTTTACAATTTGGGATCAATAATGACTTGTTACATACACTAAAACCAAAACTGTATTTTCTCTCTGGATTTTAACAGGGCTTGCCAAATCCCACTGTCGTTTTAAAAGAGGGTTAGGCAAACTTTTAATATTATACAATAAATTAATAAATAACTTTTAAACTGTTGGCCAAATGTTTAAATATTACAAGTTAATAAGCTTATATGTATGTGTGTAATGGTTTAAATGTTTTTTTAATGCAATAATTTACTTTCACTTTCACAATTTACAATAAATACCTACTTTTTATTTGATGAACACCTAATACAAATTAGTAAACTAAACTCAAGAACATACAATTAAAAATAAATTTGAAGTTACAATTGTTACTGCATAGCTAAAACATAAATAAATTTGTACAACTGCATTCCATTCCAAATTCCAACCTTTTTTGGTACAAATTTAATTCCACCAACTTTCAGAGTAGGCCTAGAATTGAAATCCTTGTCGGTCAGTCTGTTAAATTTTTAAATTGTTAATCTGCCCACATAAGAAAGTCAAATCAAAAAGTTATTATAAGCCCTTGGAAAAACTTTTTGGAAGAGTGATGTCTTCACCAGTAGCCTAATTTATTTTACCTTGTCAGAACCATTTTGCAATCTAACTGTGGGCCAGAAAAAAACACCTCACAGGCTGCTCATGACCCCTGTTCTAAAACACTGAAAGTGTGGCGGCCCCAGGAATTCCACTCGGCGGGGGGGGATGACCACCAGTGGTTATGGAATATACCTCAGTAAAAAGGGTGGCGGGGGGGTCCCCTCCCCGGAAAAATATGTGGAATCTAATTCCCAAAAACATATTTTTATACATATTTAAGCTTTAAAATATGCTCAAGCTAATAGTATATAAGTTTGCTACTAAAATATTAAATATTTAAGGGGGGTGTATATCCCTAAACCCCCCCCCCCTGGGACCGCCACTGCGACTGAAACTAAAACAGAGGGATAGCAGGAAGGTATGCAGCTATGATAATTGCTGTGTAATGCGAAAATGTTGAAAACAAAAACAAAATTCAGTAGAAAGTAGGCAACTTAAGTCTGGTGAGTCTCTTCCTAATACAGGGGTGTTGAAAGGGGTATTCTAGGTGTATTCACTATGGTGTACAGTCATGTTGCACAATTGCACACCTCTTAATGTTACTCCAACATTAACTAAAAGAGATTAATTAAATAACTCCAAAAATTTGATAATTTTATATTTTTAGTGAGTTTTTTTGTTTGTTTATAGCCATCATCATAATCTACTTAACATAACTACAAAAACACTAATGCACAAGTCTGTAAGGTAATACATTTTACCTACAACCGTTTACCTACCTGTTTCAGTTCTGTTTCTAGAATTGATAAGTTTCACATAACTGCATTGTTTACTTTCATAACAGCATAGTTTTACTCATAACAACACAGGAAACGGACCAAGTAAAATTCTCTTAGAAGTTATGAGAAGTGATTGTTAGTAATTAAAAAACTGTCTTAGGTAAAGTAGTGTACGCAACTCGCAGACTTGTGCCTTAAATTTTATACTCGTGTCGTTAATACTATCTTTACGCAATTGTTGCGGAAAGTACTATTACAAAGGTTGCATTGATTTGCAGTGTTGCTGAAAGCGTACCAATGGCTGATATGTTACCTGACCCAGAGTACCTTTGAGCGACTGAAGACACAAAAGGCACAAGGCAAGGACGCCTTTACTGCCAAGAACGACTCTCAGGTGTTCTTTGCTAGAACGCTCAGCATCGCTTATGTAGAGGTTGGTTGATTTTTAATTTTTTTTTTTTTTTACTTTTGAAAACATTGCATACATTAAGAGGCCTACAGATAGTTCTTGCTAAATGTGGTAGATGCGTTCTTGCAAGGTGTTGAAAAAGCAAAACTGCATACCATTCGATTATGCAAACATTTAAAACAAAACGTAAACATTTTACTTCTATTTTTATACTGTTCGGCACTCTGTTCATTGTATTAGACCAGTGTTACCATAAAATAATTTGTTGAAAATTATTTTACTTTGGGATAGTGTTGAAATTTTTCATTTAAAATCTACAGAGGTGTGCGAGACCAAGGTTTTTGAACCAAGCCTAAACAATATATGGTTTGGCTTCATTTCCTGACCAAGTGTAATTTTTAAATATTTATTAGTAGTATTCTGTATTTTTTATCGGAATTAAAAATGTATTTCATTATTAATTTATTTCAGTGTTTGATCATTTAAGCTTTTAGGCAGAACTTTGCTTGTCTTGAAACTCAAGCCTGTTACATGTCTCTAAAAATTCATTCAATAACTATTTTGTTTATATTACAACAATATCGACATACTATATCGATAATATTAAATTGTAATTACTTTTTAATTGGCAATTTAACTTACAGCACTACATATTGTGGAAGTTCTCCGAGCGGGTCGACAGCCAAGCGGAAGACCCGAGCATTCAACAAGTGTTGAAAAAGTTGGCAGCACTGTACGGTGTGTGGAGCTTGGAGAGACATTTGGCAACACTGTACCAAGGTATGTGAAAAAAATTCAGTTTGAAAAATGTTTTTATTTCATAGCTAAACCGTGCAACCAATCTTTGTATTCCCATTTTACATAGGATGACATATAATTTTTTCTTATGGTACAGGAGGGTACGCGGTAGGACCGCAGCCAGTTGTGTTGCTGCGGGAAGCAATTCTGCAGCTCTGCAGTCAGTTGAAGCCAGAAGCAGTTGCGCTGGCTGATGTCATTGCACCACCAGACTTCATCCTCAACTCTGTTCTCGGTCGGTCGGACGGAAATGTGAGTTTTATTCATTTGGTTTTAGAAACATAAGTTGTACCATAAACTAACCAACACAAGTAGACTTTTTATCCTATGAAAACGTTGATGCTCGTTTTTGTTTCTTATTCATGTTGTTGACAATAGGCGCTAGTGTCGACAACAATTTTTGTTTTATTATTTTAATGTTAGTTTGATGATTGTGCTTTACTGTTTGGTTATTTACCTAGGGAAGGAGTTATTGTTTATGGATAGGTTGTTTTATTTGGTTAAACAAGGTTTCAAATAACTGAAATAACAAGTAACAAATTTTAAGCAAAAAAAACACCCTAGCGGCACTGGATGGAACTAACAATAAAATTGTTTTCAGCTGATCCTTAAGCATGAAAATCTACTAACGGAGTAAATTTAATCTATAACTGTGCTTACTTGTTGATTGAGCAATTTTAAAGCCTAAGAAAACTTGAAGAAGAGTTTTCTAGTGGTTGAGTTTAGAATTTGAAAACTCAAGAATGTGTTTAAGTTGAATGTGGATTGGTTGAAATATCTTAATTAACTTTGTTACTGACTAAGAACAGTTGTACCCTTAGCTACTATTGGATCAATGGTTAAGTAAAGCTTGGGCCAGTTTTGAAATTTGAACTTTAAAAAAGCCAAGAACTATCCTCAGTTTTGATTGGCAAAGATGTACAGTAGAACCCCTAATATCCGGCCTCAGAATATCCGGTCCTCGGTTTATCCTGTCACTTCCCGGAATCGATACCAAAAATATTTCCCACGACTGTAGACCTAGTCTCCACGATTTGAGCGTTCTCACGGTTTATCTTTTTCCTGTTCATATACATTTTTAGCAGGCTCACTACTCAGTTGAGCTAGTAGACTCCCAAAATAGTCTTAAACACTACTTTTAACCAATTACAAGTTGTTATTAGATATAAATTATGGTTTTAGTAATAGGTTGGTTTATCCGTGGCCGGTTATAAGGGTATTTACTGTATTAGAAAAATATCCAAGAATGCAAACATATTTGGTAATCCTTCCAGGTGTACAAGAATCTTCAGTCATCATTGTTCCAAAACAAGAACACTTTTGAACGGCCGTCTTGGTGGACAGAGATCACAAAGTTTACTTCACGAGCTAAACTTTAGTACAAAAGTATACTTGCAGCTATTCTCTTCTCGTAAAATGTTCTTCCATTGTTATGTCTAATACTAGAAAGAAAAAGTTTTACACCTGAGTTTTTACAAATATATTTAGAGATATTCAAAGAGGTTAAAGTTAACAAATACAGAAGTTGTTTGTTTTCATACTTTTTTAGTGAAAGGTAAAACCAACTACATTCTATTTTAGTAAATGCCTCAGGTTCATACGATAGAAAGAAATAATATTAGAACAAATATTGCTGTTAGTTATAGTTTTTAATCAACAATTAGTTTTAGTATTTTGTTAGTTTACCCATACAATCAGGTGATTTGTTGCCAAATTGGAATTACGAGCTTTATTTTAGGTTAGGTAGGAGCTATTATTTCAAGAGTAAGTGTAGATTTTGGTAGGCATGAGTAGTTGGTGGGGATAGACATATGTTGAGTACATATAAACTATCAAATATTTTATTTGGGGTGATCCAAATTCAGTTTTCCATTTAAAAAAGAAAGAACTCATACTACTATACATTTTCTTAAATATTATTTGATTAACATTACCTTTGACATTTTTAATTAATAGTACTAAAAAAGCACCTGAAAATGGCCACCACTGGACCACCCACTGCAGTTAATTCTATCGAGGAAGTTTTTTAATGATTTTCAGCCTTCAGGTTTTCTTTTTTCTTTAACTTGGCAAATGTTTGCTTTCAGTTGTTCCAACAATGATCTCACAAAATAACATGAAGATTTTCATCGTTCCATATTCGTAAATTCTGTTTATAAACATAACCAGAGATAATGAAACTTGCTTCTTCAGAGTAGAAGATATTCTTTGACAAATCAATCAATCAACCGTCTTTATTTGTCTTTGTACATAAATACAAAAAATTGTGTTATATGTACATAATATGACAATGCCTATATATACACACACACCTAATATACTGTACCATCTACATAGTTTTAAGGATCACCAATCCCAGACAAACCTTGCTCCTAATGCAAACTCACTAGTAGAGAAGACCTGAAGAGAGAATAACTTCCTTCTTCTACAAATCAGTTTCAACTTCCTGTTGTTTCAACGCCCATTCTGGATAAATGCTTCACAGTCAGTGATCACCGGTTTTCAGTTTTTGGGCTGTAACTGTTTGTAAGAATGTAATTGCAAATCCTTATGCAAAATGTGCCTAAAGTTAACCGTAGAGAAAAAACCTAATGTCTGAGAACAAAGACACTGATCACTGTGGCTCTTTGTTCACAATAACAGTCACAGCAGTAATACATTTGGATAACCGAATTCACAATGAAAAACAGACCTTATTTTATCTTAAATGGTTCCAGTTTCGGGAAATTTCTTTTCAACATCGTGAAATTACACTCATTAAAATGGTCAGATTGACATTCAAAGAATTCGTAAGAAATTATATTTCTGCCGAGAAGTTGAACAGCTTTAACACATTAAATAAAACATTCCATTTCGTTAATCTGCTATGCACTGACATTTTGATGTATTGCAAACATGAAACAAAGAGCAGCTGTTCAATCGTCAGTGTTGCCAAAATAGGAAACTGAAATTGAATCACCCTTTACCAGAAAAAAGCTCAAAATATTAACATTTACAATATGAAACATGAAACAACTGTTAACAAATAAACAATTGAGATCAACAATGAAACAATTATGTGCAACAATTGAAAACTGATGTTATATGAACAAAGAATAAATTTAGGATCTGTGTAAAAAAAATGTTATGGTGTACCAATAATTTTTGGAATATAATTAATTAATACATTTTCTCTACTTGAAGTTATATAATGGAATATTGCATGCCCTAGTTATATGTTTAGCTAAACAGTATTTGGTTGGTTTTCATGGCTGCCTTTTAGTTTTAAGTGAAGAAGTAAAACTGTAAAAACATATTTACAGATAGCTTAACAACACATTTTTCCAAGGAACTTTAAACTTATCTTAATGTTTTATTCATAAAATTGTTCATATTATTAACATGAAAATGCAATAAAATTAATTGGGACTTGCATTTTATTCAAATGATTGTATTATGTTAAAGTACCAATATTTCAGTTCAAAGAACATAATCTTGTTCACAATTTTGCAATTAAAATATGTTTTAAAACTGTATAAAAACTAGTGATGTGTCAAAGTTAAAATTCAAATCCACGGAATCTTAAGGAAAATATATAATTTATACGTAAGCACTTCTTTAAATTTTTACATGGCTTATTGGGATTTTAGTTTATTTCTCATCAAAGGTTTCATTTTGGCAAGGTGATTGATAATTTTATAAACTGGTAACCATCACTGTTGAGATTTTACTAAAATAGCAAGTGAAAAAATTATCATGAGAATTTTTTTTATTTTTTCTGTACATTTAAGAGGAAGAATTGATTGTAAGAAATTCTTAGAAAAATCAAAACTCTTAGATTTGACCATCACTAGTTAAAGCCCCTTCTCCCTTAGACATATTTTGATTACTGGATATTTTACATGCCGTTTATTTCCAATGGAAAGTTTACATCAAGTCCTTTGACTATTTTAGATGTTGCTCAATTTGTTCATTTATGTACCTTAAAAGCTTCATAAAGTGGCTATTTTCTCATTATTTTTGCTCAAAGAAATGAGTTTTGATCTCTACTTAATACGTAAAACTTTGATCAAATACACAAATCAAAGCAAAGAACATTTTGTCATAAAATAACCCTCAGGTAACTTAGTTAGACAAAACATTTATTTTGTCATGCATTATTAAGAAAATAAATGTAAAAATAAGTGTATGTAATATGGTGTCTCTATATTACAAAACATTATTTTATTAGTCATGTCTAGATTAATTAGAAATCACTTTAAGAATAAATTATGTTTTTTCAAGCTTTTTAGAACACCCCTGCAGAATAAAATTTTAGTTGATTCAGTTCTTACAAAAAATGAAATAGTGCTAACAAATTAAGAATAGATTGTTGTTTGCAAAAGTTTTATTTCTCTTTTCAAGTTTTCTTGTTTAAACCTTTAGATTGTTTTTCCCTTTTTACTGTTGGTATCAAGTTAATGTTGAAGGTATATATGTTAAAAGGGCGCTGCCTGAATAAATAACAAGAACTGGTTAAAGAAGTAATTTGTGGTTCATGAGCAAAAAAGTTAATGTATATGCATGAAACTATTGGGCAGTATTTAGTTGGAATATTAATTCAAATAAATGGCTGTAAAGTTGTATTTTATAGTAAGATTTATCCACAAATGTATGTACTGTAGAAGACTTTGTACCTTGCAGTGTTATTCAACTCATAATCAAAAGTTATTCTCTATAGGTGGCTGAAATTATGCTTTGGGTTTAGAACAATGTGTGTCATCTAGTTAAGTAAATTATAAGTTGTGTTTTTATATATTTTATTTCCTGTTAGTGGTTAATTGAGAATAAAATCTGAATACAGTGCCTTCATATTTGTATTTTTTTATCAAAGTATCACAACTCAAATTTTTTGTGGTATAGAAAACCCCTTGTAATGTGCCGAGATTGATCGGTGTTATAAATTATGCTTACATTTTGAAAAACTTGCTGTAACAAAAGTACAAAGAAAGATTATTTTCAATAGTGGCAATTATTAGCAAGGGCATGAGGGGAGTGTTTACCCACAATTTAAGAAAGATACATCAATTAATTTAATGTTTGTGCATAATCTGTCTCCATATATTCCTGGTGGTTTTTGCTGTCTACTTCTAATACACAAATTCTGCAACTGCTTTTGGGGGATCTTAGGGAGAATTCTTCTAGAGCTGAACTTAAAACTGGTCAATAGATATCATTTTATAGACCAAAGGAAGCACATAGCATTAAAAATGTTGAATAATCGATGAAGCTAAGGATGCAAACCTGAATTAGTTTTATGATACTGCACTGTAGCTCAACTAAAGGTCAAGAGATTTAATTATGCATATTTATATCAAGTTTTCCCATTTCTTCTAAAAAGCGTCAAAATGATGTAAACCAGTTTTGATCGACACACACTAAAGAGGATGCCTGGCTTAAAAAACAAAGCATTAGACAGACTATTATTATATGGTGCTAAAGCCAAATATTAGCAATTACTGTAACACAAACTTTGATTTTTAATTCATTCATCTCAATACTGAAAAAAAACTATGACCGCATAGCTTAAGTCGAGGGAAGATTCAAAGATACTAAGATATTATAAACAACAAATATATTCTCTCATACAAGTAGTAACTTAAATAAACATCATTTTTGAATACTGTATAATATTTTAATATAAAGAAGTACGAATTAGTATTTAGTAGACTCTGACATTGGGGACTTCCAACTTGGCTTCCAAAGGTGAAGACAATCCAAACACGTAGAAGTTTTGTGATTGTTCTCCAGACGCAGCCGAGTAATTCACGACGTCAACACCCTTCGCACTGAGAGCCTCTGTGAGAAAATAAATGAAATTAAACATTTGAAATATTGCATTCAATCAACGTCACGTAAGATAATATCTTACATATCTTACAAGATATACTGGCATTTTAAAACCATGCCTACTGTCATTGACCTATGCACCACCAAGGCAGTCTAGACTTCATGTCCGGCCGGTACTTGTCGATCACTGTCTCAGTAGTTTTATTAATTTTATATTTTAAACCTTCGTGTCCGTTTAAAGTCTGTGTTCGGTGTTTCTCGATTTGTCAAAACTATGGTGACCCTCAAATGGAGTGAATATTTTATCCTTGTACACCTGAAGATGACACCACGGAGTTGAAACTGGTTGCAACATAAAGCAACGAATTGGATTACTTAGATGCAAGGAATTTAATTCACTCTATGTATTTAAAAAAACTTGCATAGCATTTGAAAGATGAAAAGATGAAAGCAGATAGTATCAATTGTATATTTAGGACTTTTCAGGTTTAAAAGATTGCCACTGGTCCTTGACTTAGATATTCTGAAATACATACTCCATGGGTAGCAATTACTTAGTCCAGGTATCTTGCGCTTAAAAATAGTCTCATATACAGGGTGAACAACTTAACTGGGCCACCATTGGTATCTCATAAACTATATTAGATTTAGAGAAAACATTAAATGGAGAACTTCAACTATTTTCTCGTGACATTAAAAATATGACAACTTTTTTTAAATGGTAGCTATTTTTGACATTTCTTATGTTTCATACCTTTTATGTGATTATTTTATAATGTAATTGTAATTTTTAAAGTTTTTTATTCTTCATAAATTCATAATTTTTCTCTACAGCTAAGTTACTCATTTAGGAGCTACATCGAGGGAGTTACACCCTGGAAAGAGTAGCCTTCTGTGTAGCCCCTAAACTAGTGAATTCGGAGAGGAAATCTTAAGAGTACATAAGTCTCAAAATTGCATCTACATTCTAAGAAGATCATAAAATACAGAGTGTTCATAAGAAATTTTTAGCGCCATCTTTGGTGACTATGTTTGAAAAAGTGAAATTCGTATTTGTACTGTATTTTGTGATTTCTTTCAAACTGGTAATATATTTTTGGTAGTATATTTGGTAGTATATTTTACCTGATATAGCCAGGAAATCTTGTCTGGGGTTGGCACCACTGAACAGTTGGACACTGTTCCAATCAGCTGTTGAAGTGCCAACAAGTCTACCAACTTGAGAAAACTGAGCTCCATTAACAGCCAGCAGGTAATGGATAGTCTTGCTTTTGATTGTTCCTGTGGAATATGTTACAGTAAAATTAATTGTTTTCAAATGAGCCCAGAATTAGATATGCAACAATTTAGGAGCACTCATTGTGTAAGTGAATTAAATGAAAAATGCTTCTTTATTAATGTGAACTTACATTAGCGTACAGTTAACATCTACAATACTACAATAATAACACAATGGTTGTGTTTTAAGTAAGGTCAATTTGTGCGATTATCTACTTAGTTCGCTTGTAGGTTGGTAGCACTGACCTGTGACGGAGTTAGTTCCCTTGGCGGTGGCAACGCTGACAGTGACACTCTTTTGCTCGCTTGGCTCGTAGCGTTGGCTGACAACAAGCCCCGCCTCCTGAGCTAGCTGAGGGGCGTTGATGAGGTTCAGTCCGTTGCTGGTACGTCCGGTCAGAAGTCCTACAAGAGCCGCAGTCCCCAGGAATCCCATGTTTTCCAGTGCTGAACCTTGAGAATAGAGTTAACTGTGTGAATATAAATTGCAAAGAAATATTGAATTTTCTATCTTCAGTGGTCAATGATGGTATAAAAAGTGAGGAAAAAAACAATTGAAAGCCTCAAAGGTAGCTTTTTTTTAATAAAAAATATAACTTTTGTTGTATCTCATGGTTTTAACTTCGTGCCAAAAACACACCGAACTTAATTCTCCCCTTATCTATAAAATGACTTTTTATTTGAACAAATATTGATTCAATTTATTTTCCAAGTAAACCAGTTATACAAAATTGAAGCAAAAGTAAATCAAGTTTTATTTTTGGATTCTTTACAGTGGCAATACTAATAAATTAATCATTCATCAATTCATCTGTAAAGTTACCTGGAGCTAAAATTTAATCCATCTGTAATATTGTAAATGTGTTTAAATTTGTTCCAAGAACAAAAATTACAGAATTTTCCGTCTGTGTTTTTAAGTCACTGGATTAGATATTTTCTGTACACAACATAAGTTTTTGACCGAACTTACCTTTCCTGATAAGCTCAACTTTAGCGTCGGCCCTGTCTTCGTCTTGAAGCAGTTTACCCAGCAGACGTCCGAGGCTTGTCGTCAGTTCGATCCACTTGTTGTTGTACGGGACGCAGGCTGCGCTCAGCACTGGGGCGTTCACAGCTCCGGTGATCTTGTATCTGTGGGCAAAAATGGTAATCAGCTGTCAATAGGCTTAAAATTCAGCCGGTATTAATCAAGCGTATAGAACTATGTTACTTTCTGAATCTATATTAAGATTAAAACATGCTACTTAGATGCTGGATCTTCAAAATAATAATAATCAAACAAGTAAAACATTGCATATTTCATACAGCAATTCTGCAATATCAAGTGTTAGAAACAATTGTGTAATGACACTTAGTAAGGTAATGTAATGATAGTTAGGGATGTCTATTGATTATCATGCTGCAGCTTAAGCATGATTCTAACCGCTCTTTTTTGCTCCTTTAAAATGCTATCTAGATTACATATTTTTGTTGAGCCGTAAGAGTGCTATGCCAAACGAGATATGTGAATGCACATGTGCAAAATATATATTTTTTAATGTTTTTAAATCACAGTAAAAAGACATACTTGATAAAACATGAATTCCAGAATTAATTTTACTTAAAACTCAGCTGTTGAGCTGTCGGATCAAGTGGAGGGGATAGATTTCCTGTCATAAAACCACCAAAATTTTGTGAATGGAGTATAGTTTAACACTAATACTGAAACCCCCGTCTGACAGGCCCACAGGAATTTTCAAAAACGCATGTTGCCAACACTGTTTACTTGGGAGATTCCATTCCCCCAATACCTTCCCCCCTTTTCCTCCCCTACCTATTGATATATTGTTTGTTCATTTTGCATGGGTGCCGTGACCTTGACAGGCTGTCTGTTCATAACATGCCTGTGTCAGAAGCCCATCGTTAGTGTATTTTAAAGCGGGGTCTCACAGGCCGAGGGCTTCGGTTTGTGTGTGTCTAAGCGGGGTCTATTATTTTTCAAATGGGGTCTCACAGACCGGGGGTTTTGGTTAACCTCAGCCTAGGTAGAGTTTCGGTATTAGTGTTAATTTATTGGCACAAATTTACTTTTATGAGGTATATTACACGTTACATGTGTCGAGTAAAGAGAGTTACAAGAAGAGTACAAAGAAGTAAGAGCAAGAGTTGCATAGAAAATGAGTCTATATTTGAGAACACATTACGTAGCAATTTAAATTGCTCTAGATTGTGAATATGATTTAAGGTCAAATTGATAAGCGGTAAATATGTAGTTTTACTATCTTCCCCTATTTCTGTTCCGACTTTTTGAGTTTTGGAGTTGTGGGGTTGTATGGGTACTCTACTGTACTTGTATGTATAATAATTCAATGTACTAAGTTTTTAATTATTAAATACTCACGGGGATTTGGGATCATTGAGTGCAATGAACTGCTCTGCGATCTCGACGGCCACCCGAGTTTGAGCCTCGTCCGTGCTAGCGCCAAGGTGTGGTGTACAAACCACCCGTGGGTGTTGTATCAGGGCCAGGCTGGTCGGGTTCCTGGGAGGCTCCTCAACAAACACATCCAAAGCAGCACCACCGCACCTTCCGTCCTATGGAAATTTAAGTTAAAGGTTAAAGCAAAGTCCTTAAACTTTACTGCCTATTTCGTTTTATAAATACCACCATAGACAAATAGAATGAATATAGACTGGCAGCAGTGCTGCGGTTAACATATGTTTCCGCGCTAACCGCTAGGAGTGTCGTGTAGTTACGGCGCACACCGCTGCAACGTCTGCTGGTCGCATACATCTCCTGCGCTCTTTGCCTGCAGCGGTGTGTGTCGTAACTACATGACACTCCTAGTGGTGGGTGCCGGAAGCTTTCTTTGACAGTCTATATTTATTCTATTTGTCTATGATACCACTGAAAATTAATTCACTCGATGTGAGTTCATATTAACAATTTTAGACTCCCAAAATGATCTTTGAGAAATTAACAAAGCTGCTATTTCTTATATTTACAAACTCAGCCATGCAATACGATTTTCAAAAATAAAGCTACAAATCTACCAGTTTAAGGAAACTGTAGGTAATAACATTGCAAATTTGCAAAAAGTAAATCTTTGTTACGGTACCCTCAGAGAATAGCATATTTTTGAAGAGTTAAAATTGTGTCTCAGTCTTTTAAATCTTATTTCAAAGTGTAAGGTTTATTATAGTTTTATAAATTTAGGATGCAATCACAATCATCTTCTTAAGCATAACTACAGAGAAGTAGTTGGTGTCTTACATCAGTGCTGGTGTCTATGGCAAAGTCCAACACCACCCTCATGTACCACAAACCTCAAGGTGGAGGAAGACCCTGTGCCCTGTGCGATAAGAATTTCCGCACAGAGATTTCAGGCTTTTTCTTGCCAAGTATATTTCCGACATAAAATATCTGATCTGAAAGCGCACAGTTGTCCCATGAGTGTGTTTTCTCCGTACCTCACTTCTCTGTTTCATAACTTATGAGATATTGTAAATTGAACATTTTCATTGTTATTGGGCTTGCAGTGTATTTGACAAAATGGCCACTATCAAAGCCCTGTAAGTCAACTGTCAGAATCACTTAACAACTACACATTTTAATAATTTAACACCTAATCCAATTAAAATCACATTTTTACCAAACACCCTTGATCTGTTACCTTAAGAGCCTCCAGTAAAGCTGCCTCATCTACGATGCCTCCTCGAGCGACGTTTACAATCCTCACACCTCGTTTGCACTTGCTCAACACTTCACTGTTTATAAGATCTGAAACAGCAATGGTAAAATAAAAAATAAAGGTTAACCAAAGGTTATTTTACACTTATTTTCTCAAAGAGTATACTTTAAGTGTTTCTTTAGTTTTTTAATTAATTATAACAGCAGGAAAACACAAATTAACTTATTTCAAATTTACAATTAGTTTTCCTGAAAAAGTTGTTAAACAATTACCGGCTGTTCTCAATTAAGCTATACATATATTTTTTACATATATATACATTTTTTACATATATATATTTAGCTATACATATTCTTCTATAAATCAATCGTTCTATCTGATGAAAATCAGCTGACTTTGTAACAAAGCTCATTTCATTCAAGGGTCAGGGCCAACTCATTTTACACACCCCTCATTTCTATTCAGAAATGTGTTAATAAAGTGTGTCACTTTTCTTAATGAATGTGTGTAATTGGATGAGAATTGGTGATTCAATGGACTTGTTTGGACCATGCACATAGAAGTATAGTAGGACACAAAATTAAAGTCCCATGTCTGCAGGTAGAGTAGACCCGTCCTAATCCTGTTTGTCAAAACAACGCTATTGTTGGGAGCTCGGCAAGCAGACGGGCTGGGAATACCACCCTCCCTCGCTGTTCCTAGAAATTCCGTGTCCTAATACAATTTGCATAAATTGAACCATAAGACTTGGACCATCATGCGAAGGCTCATTTATTTGATCATCTGAAAAAGAGGAATAAAAACAATTTTGAGTGAACGCTCTACGGAGTTCCCGTTACCGAGTTATCCGGTCAAAAAAGAAAACAAATAAAAAGAAAAGACTAATTTCTAGGAACAGCGAGGGGAGGGCGGTATTCCCGGTCCGTCTGCATCGCCAAGCTCCCAACAATAGCGTTGTTTTGACAAACAGGATTAGGACGGGTCCACTCTACCTGCAGACATGGGACTTTAATTTTGTGTCCTACTATAAGGTACAGAGAAAACTTGTTTATGGGACAACCACACACTTTCAGCTACAGTTTATTGTGCATGGGCTCAGTGCTCAGTGCTTTAGAGCAATGTATTTGTGACAAGCAAGGAAGAGCTAGAGCAGTGAGCAATGTGCGGAAGTTCCTATCGCACAGGGCACAGGGTCTTCCTCCAGCACAATTGTTGTAGTGTGTGATGGAAAGGGAAAAAGGGTGTGAAGGGGTTAGGAGAAGCAACAGTGTTGGACTTTTCCCTAGACACCAGCGACTAGTGCTAAATACCACTAAGTGCACATCAGAATGTTTCTTCTGTACCTTACATCTCTTCGTACCATGACACACAGCATGGTTTTAATTCCGTGAAAACTTCAACAGTGCCTTTTATTACTGGACCATTACACCCCTTATTTCCATTCTGTGCTCTCCGGTTACAACTGTACTCCTTCCTTGTTTTGCTTCTGAGTTATAATTTATGTTCTATATTCAGTTTTTTTTTTCTAATTTTAGGTATACTACATTATGGAAGGCATACAGTCTTAAATTACATCAAAATGCTCTTAAATAAGGATACCAGTACTTAGAAATAAAACACTCACTACGAGTTTGTGGGATGAGAGGAGTGTGGATGGTGATGTAGTCGGCTTCGGGCCAGATCTGGTCTAGGTCTCGCTTCTCTACGTTGAAAGCAGCAGCGTCCTCGGCAGACACCATTGGGTCAAACCCAATGGTCTACAACAGAGGTTAGAGAACAAGTTTAAATAGCCCTAATGATATATTTCAATTTTTTTCAACTCCCAGGAACCGAACGCTCAAATGTTTTTATATAGAGACAAATATACCAGATATTTATTACTATGGGATTGAACTAGAGGCATTTCCCTAGCACAATCCAAAAAGGGATTAGTAAACCTGGATTTTTCTAGATGCAACGGTGGAAAGCGGAGTCGGCTTTCCTCTGGTCATATGGATTTTAATGTTCTGTTTTCCTAGAAGCGGAGCAGAATTATTGGAAGAGTACAAATTACTTATACACCCTCTTGGTGCCCTAATAGCAGAGGAGTTGACTGGTGGAGTGGCTTTTTCTAACTTAGGTAGGTTTTTTTTCTTTTTATACAAAACAAGTTAAAGTTTATAAATTTCTCACTTGTTAAACCAATGAGTTTTGATTCAGATTTCATTTGGAAACCTCTTCATTATTAACTCTTATATTTTACCCTGACAATTAGAGCAGTAACATTCTATGTAACAAAACGAAACTAGTTAGAGTAAATAGGAGTAGTTTGATATGAAAGAACTATGAAATTACTCTTAGACAAATAAGATAAGCTTAATAAACAGTTTTATCTGGATACAAACAGGAAAAACACTGTTCTTACACCATTATATTCGTTATGGTATCATTAAAACGTGATATCAACGGCTAGGCCAACATTTCAGAGGTCAACGGCATCAAAGGGAATGTTGTTTCCAATGTTGCATAACACTAATGTGTTTGTTTACCATCCGTTGGAAATTTTTTTTCTGTTTCCACTCACAAGATGTTTGGATGAAATCAAACTTTGTCTTTGACGGTAAAAATATTTTTTCTATAAGATTCAATCTTTAAGCACAAAAGTTGTTTTGTTTTGGATCTAGTGTACAATCTATTGCCAATAGTGTATGTATCTTTTTACTATTTCATAAGAAAAACTGAACAAAGTCTTTTTCCTGACTACGTTTCTTCTATATTATTATCTGAGTACAATTTATACGGTACTAATTTACAGTTCAAAACCAATTGAAGGGAACCAGTTTTAGAATAGTATCCATATTAGGATATTCGGCACAATTTTGAAGATGAAATGTTTAATGTAAAAGAAAGAAAATTTTAAATTATTATTTTTTTTATTGGTTTAAATCTTGCCAGGCAAGTGTTGACACCCCAGTGGTTCAGAACCCACCTCACGCTGTAGGTCTATTTATAAACCAAATAATGAATAGATGTGTGCCATGAGAACGTTCTGTGTTGATGAACTCTCTCCAATAAAATCATAACAATATCTCTAAAGGAAGACTCGTTGTTGCTGATTTGCTTACATCTTGTTATCAATTTGACCCAGATGCAACCATGAACTTTGAACAGGAATGCTAATTGCGACTAGATTAAAAACTGTACTTTCAGTTTTTTACAGTTTATCGCAACACACTTTTTGATTTTCGCCCTCGCAAAGACAACTAATAGACATATATGCAACTGCGTAGTAAATTTCAGCTTTTGTAATCAGCACTTGTACAATTCACCAGTGTCTCTAAAAAATAATACAGTTCTCAACGTCAGGGTCCTCCTATAGGTTTTATTTAGTCCATTATGTATATTTTACATCATATGATATGATTCTCACCTTCATACCGAAAGCTTGCATGCGTGCAGCCACTTCTCTGCCTATGCGGCCCAACCCCAGAACTGCTAGAGTCTTGCCTGACAGTTCGCTGCCTGTGTACAGCTTACGATCCCAGCGGCCTTCCTTCAGTGACTGGCAACCCTGAGCGATGTGTCTGCGGAAAACACATATCTTACTAAACTTTTATCCTAAAAAATATTTCTTAATCATTTCACATATATTATTGTTGTGGAGGCATTCTTTTACCATGTTTGGTTATGTCTTAAATTATTTTTTATTTTGAGAAAGGGGGTGCGTTACCCTTTTGTACATCTTAGCAATACAAAAGTATGTACAGTATATACTGATGATTATGTGGATAAACCCTTTCCTTACTTTGTTAAACAAGTAAAGAACAATAATTTTGCAACATCAATATTAGAAAAACTTATCATGAAAATAATTCAATTTTTGAAATTGCTTTACTAACACCATTTATAACCTCATAGTAGAATAGAAAAATCAAATATTTGTTATGGTACACCTTAGAAAGTAAAATCCTTTAATAATTATTTTACTCAATGATGTTATACAGATTTTTATGTCACAAATTAAGTGTTACCAACCTTGCCATTGCTGTAATGAGGGAACATGTGAGCTCACAAGCACTGATGGAGTTACCACCAGGAGTGCTGCAAAACAACAACTTATTAACAGATAAATCAAATACAAAACATGATGATTAATAATTAGTTCAGTATTTGACCTTTTAAGTCCAATATTGAACTTCATGAGTAAAATAAAAACTTAATAATTAGCATAACTCAACAAGTAGTGAGAGATCGTGTGACCTAACTTGTCCATAGAAACCAACAACAAACCATACTTACTTGGTTTATTAGTATTGTTATGTTACGTAGTCTGTAAGTTTTGATCAATTACCAAGCTGTCTAAACTAAACCTCATAGAGAGCACTGTGTAGATAAAATGATTGGATAATGTCTCATTCAGGTTTGGTGTGCAGCCCCATGACGAGATTCAGTAAGGGACCTACAGTTTATAGTGGAATCCGAACCACATTTAGGACCCCAATATGGTGTATGGCTTTGCGAGAAATAACTACAAGACAATTTTTTTTTACTACCACTATATGGAAATGATCAAATTGCCATACCTGTAAAAAGTACACAAAATAGCTCATTGCCGCTCTAGAGCGGGAATGCATCATTTCCGCTCCCTAATTAGCTGCACAGTTGTTGTGTCTACACCAACCACACTCACACGAGCACAGTAATTTGTATTCTTACTTAATACACAAATAGCTATTATGAATTGCACTTTTGATCAGGCTATTTCCTACTTTTTACCTACTGTTGAAATAACCTTGTCGTATAACAATATATATTTTCAAATTATTTCCGTGAATTTGATACCCATAAGATCAACATGTTAAATTATGTATAATTAGATAAAAAAATAAACCATATCACTCAAAGAGCTGAGTGAGTTGATATTCCATATATATATTCTAACTAAATTGTTTTCCAGTAAATAATTAGGTGGGTTACTGATTTTCTTACTTGAGTACTATGACTCCCTTGCGAGTGGCGGCTGGGATGTCAATGTTGTCCACACCAGTCCCAGCACGTCCGATCACGCGCAGGCCTTTACAAGACTGCAGGACGTCAGCGGTTACCTTGGTGTCTGACCTGACGATCAGTCCATCGTGTTTCTGTAAACAACAGTTAATATCTTTATGTAAGCAATATTTAAATTTGAAATAATCCTTCCTTTACGTGGTTCTGAAAAGTCTGCTCAAAATCTTGTAAAGCAAATTGTACCAGAGTAAAATGTTCTAGATTAAAAACACTAGATTTTTCGTCCTTATGGGTCAGCTATAAATTTATATTTTGTTAGGAATGTATCCTGCTAGCATTTTGTAGTAGGCCCACACGTTGATATTTCTATCTAGTCGGTTAACCCTTTGGGTACCAGAAATTTATTTTAGTATTTTCCAAAAAGTGCTAGAGTTTTTTTTTACTAGGTATGTCCGAAAAGTCCCAGGCTTTTCACAGAAGAATATTTCCTATAGAGAAATCTTGATGGGTCTTTAAGTCCAGAAGAATCTTATAACTTATCTTGAAAATTGTTCAGTTTATGTATTCAGGATTTTGTTGTTTATTTGGCCTAGTTTGTATTTCAATGACATTTATAAAATAAGATTGTTAACCGTGACATAAAATTGATCATATTATTCTATTTATTTACAACCTTGAAATTTGTTCAAGTTAGTTTTACATGTTTTCAATAAATGGGACTCGGTGGTTGTCCATGGAACAAGTAGTAGACAACTGGAAATTAATATTTCAATAAATATTTTGTTTTTCATTATAAATCCCACTTATATCCGTGACATTTGGTTGGATCGTAGTCTTCAAGTTCAGAGTCAATGTTGAATTACATAACTAGATGAATGAACCTACACACATGTTTGGGGCATAGGTTATACTGATTACAACAATGGCCTTGCATGTGTTAAATGATCAGCAAATCAGCTGGTCAATTAACAGCTGATTAGTGAATGAGAGTTTCAGAAAATTTTGCATTTTTTACAACTCTCTCAAAATGAATCGATTTGTCCTATTTAATAGTCTATTTTAACCTCAAGTAGCACTTAAATTTTAAATTACATTGTTAAAACCATATAAACTCGTAATATAAAACAAAACAACAAATTATAATAATAAATACCCTAGAATAATAATAATAACAATAATAAATAGTAGTTAACAAAAACTTAAGGTAATATATTTTTGTGTAGGCCCCTACTTGGGTTGCAATAATTCAAAAATATTGTTTTTGTCACCTCTATATTAAAACTTATAGGTGTTAAAATTTTGTCTAAGGTTGTAAAATTTGTATTGTAGAATTTAATTTATTATTTTTTTTTTCAATTCAGAGAAAACTAAACGGTTTAAATATTTTTTGAATGGGATGGACTAAAGTTAACTATCATGCATTTTACTAAAATTTAGTGTTATTTCAATAGTCTTGAAATCTTGTATTTGTATGTTATAAAACCACTATCTCCTGCTTATGTAACTTCCATCAATAAAATATTGATTATAATGTTTGAAGTGATTGTGCAGAAAATGTGCATGGCATAGTACACTATTTTGAACATCCTGCATTTCAATAATATTAATATGCTATAGTAATATTTGAAATGCAGTTGTTGTGCTAAATATATTTGAAAATTGAACTAATGATTCACACATTTTAATTTTTAATTATTGACAATTCAATCCCAACAAAATCTAGCTTAGGTCCAAAATTGTTTATATCTTAATGAAAAATAGCACCATTTTTAGAGTTCATGTTAATAGTTAAGTTATTTTTAATGTTTTTGTTTTGTTTTACAAAATTTAAATTATGTTGCAACATTTTTAATTAGTTTTAATTTATGAATTTTAACATGTCCGCTGAGTGGTCAGCATTATATCAGCAGGTATATAAATATATGATGTATAATAAATATGATAAGATTTATTCAATTTAAGATAAGTTAGCACTCCACATACATGATTATGTTTATAATAATGTTTTTAGCCTAGGCCTACTATAAAGGTATTACATATCATTAGCAGTGAATGTGTTGATTTATGTTTGATAAATAGAACAATTTATTGAATTATTCACAACATTTTTCCAAAACATAACAAATCTACTTATCAAATATATGTCTTACATTTAAAAAGTAAATTTAAAAGAAAACTGGGTTTTTATGTGAGTTACACAGTTTTTATATAAAAATATTACACACTTTTAAATATTTCAACAATGGCAAAACCATAAACGATTAATAAATAAAATATTTATAAACCTTTAAATGTAATGGTTTGATAATGTTTAACAAAAACAAATAATTTTCAAATATTTAAAGTAATCTTACTTAATAGGCAACTAAACAAAACCTGTAAAGCAAAACAAATTAACTTACAGAAAGCTCCTTTATCAGTTCCTCTTTCGGCAGTTTGTACTTGCAGGTGACATTGATGTTGTGGGCTTTCAAAAGATCAACACAACTTTGATCGACGGCATCGCTAATCAACACGTTTTTGATCGTAAACGGCATTTTGATCAACACTTTTCAACACGTTTCGACCAGACCTAACCACGAGCCGACTACTGTAGAAGTGGACTGGGTCTGCGGTGCGATCAGTTTTATAAATCACTGCTCTCTCCTGATTGGCCGGTTCCAACAATGGTCTCGGATCAGCTGTTGCATTAATCGCACAGCCCAGTTCGATGGTCAGACTAACATTAGAGTATTTAAGTTTAATGCAGCGTTTAAGTTATATTGCGTAATTTAAATAAAGGCAATTTGTTTCACTGATTTTATTGACTTGAGTACAAACTAGTTATCAATGTAGATACCTATTTATTTCCCTTTTATGGTTGCTGAAAATAAAAAAAGCAGCATAAACATGCTTATCGTTGTTTTGAATATTTGAAATTTAACTGAATGATTGTGTACTAATTTATGGAATTATTTTATTTACTAGTAAAAGCTATAACACTTTCAGTTGGTTATTATATTTATTTTTTACAATTCAATAAATTATGTAAGAATACTACAACGTTTTAAAATTATAAATTTTACGTATTTGTCATGAATGATTATTTAACAATGCTGTGTATCTTAAATGTTTAATTTTAATTGTTAATACGTTTAAAGTTAATTGTTAAGTTAAAACTATAAAATTGTAGTGTGAAAATATAAAGGTTTAAATTGGTGTGTAAATTATTTATTCTTACAACAAATCGTTAATTTGAATAATAAAATTATTTGATGATGCAAACAACTTCAAATAATGAGAAGTACGATTTTTTAGTCAGCTAATACGAGTTTTTGAGCTTTCAAATGTAACACTTGGAAAATGTTGAAACGGGTAAGTTTATTTTGTAAAAAAAACCCACATTGTGTGATTCGGTAAATATGATATGTAATTAAATGATTTACTAGGTACCTAACATAAAGTTTAAATATAATACTACGAAATATACGGAAACTAAATAACCTTTTTAATACACATTGAGGAAAAGTTCACAAATATATCCAATTCGTACAATTACATGAAAAAAATATTTCCTTATATATTATCAAGCTGTTTTATTGGGTGCTATAATGGCTTTCTCTACAGGAGGCTATGATACTGTTCTTCAATAGACTACTCAAATATTTGTTTTTTTTTCTGGATATATGCGCTTTACCAGACTGTACATTCTATAGCCACGTTCCTTGGAGAATAGGAGAATTATTTTGTACATGCAATGAAAGATTCTGTTTCAGTTTCATCAGACTTAGATTTCTGCCCTTATAAGTTATGGTGATAAGCTTATGAGAATTATTTTATTGATTGATTTCCACAGAAAAGATAAACAATTACAATGTTTACATTTGCTTTACTTTTAAAAAGATTTAATTTAGCAATAATTATATTTTGCAAAAATAAAGTGGTACGCTTATTAATTCTATGGATATTTATAGCTTGGTGGCTGCTCGTACGTTAAGTTATTTACACGGATATTAGAACAGAAACGGTAATGATTACAAGCATACAAAAATACGTCACTGATATGAATCTTATGCTAAGCTTAACTATTTTTGATTGGGCGTTTTTTGTCAGTTCCATTAAAAAATAGTGCAAAATGTTTACTTTTGGGTCAGTGTCGTCATTTGGTGATATTTATGATCCATACAGTTTCTGTTCTAAAATCCGTACTAGTGCACTCCGTTCCAAAGCACGAAGCTACTATTTTTTCCTAAGTTAAAGAGTCACAAACCTAACTTTTTCGGAGAAATTTAAAACTATGCCAACTTTTAAAACTTTTTAAAACTATGCCTAACTTTTTCGGAGAAATTTAAAACTATACCTTTAACTTTGCTATTAATTAATTAAAACGATTTGACGATAGTTAATTTTTACCGTAGAGTCAGAGACCGTGACTAACCCTAGGTCAGTTGTGAACTCAATTACGACAAACTTCTAATTAATTATGTCTACCGTCTAATTGTATACCAATAAAAATTATTATCACAGTAGAGACAAAATAAATAATTTTTAAACTTTTTCTCTATCAATTTCAACCGAGTCATTTTGAAAGATTATGTCTTTGTCACCAAATAAACAATAAAAATATTAAGTAAATAATAATATTTTGTTACAAAACTGTTATGTGACTCCAAATCAAAGACGTAAGTAAAATAGAGTGGAATTTAACCATTATCGGAAATAACAAGAATCGTCACTTATTAGCGTAAATTTCAAAAATAGAACCAACAGTTAAAAACAGGAAGGTTATCATTCCGTATTTTGAAGCCTTACAAAAATAGCTTAATCATTCACTCGAGTCCTGGGTGGAATATAATAGTACAGCATGGCATATCAAACTATGTCCCATAGTTAAGATAAAATAAACAATTGATTTAAAATGTATTAGCGAATTTCCCTATAGGGAAGTGTTAGCGAATTTCTCTATAGGGAAGTAGCTTTTTTCATTTTGATGTCCCCAGAGGCCAAAAACACCATTCGTTCAAATTTGTATATATTTATTTAATAAAATACATATATATATGTACGTGAACACGATAACTTGAGTAATGCTTGTCCGATTTTGATGAAATTCGGTAGGGCGGGATAAACTTGAATGAGTTCGCGAACCAGAATGATCGGACCATGGGAACGGGGTTTTATGGGGTAAAAATTGGGTTTTCTCATTTTTGACCTTCAAAATACAAAATTTCCCAATTTCTCTCTAGACCTTTTTAAAGAGCTTAAAAAAACAAATAATTTAGTATATAAAGGGATTTTGTACGGTGATTGGTAACGGAGAAGATTAAAAAAAATTGTAAATTTAAATTTCCCATGATATTCTTATGGAGAATATTGTCAAATGTTGTAGTTTGCTTGTTAATGGATATATTTTGGCAATTTTTTTATTTTATACAAAGCTATTATTATTTTACTAAATACACACTATATTAGTTTCCTTGCAGCAGCAATCCTAGTTACTCGATAAACATAATGTTATTTAAATAGATTTAATAGAATATCACTTCAGACAACTGGAAATTCGCTTAGTCGGCAGGTTTGCAGCGGCGGGGTATTTTAGTAATTGGCTAGTTTCTATATTACTTCCTAATCTATATACCTTATTCTAAATTGTTTATAGTATTACAATAACACAACTGTATTTAAGAAAGTTTTAAATTTTAGCTTTTACATTTTTAAGATCGTGCTTTGAATATTTGCATGCGATAATTCAAATTTTATAGGTTATATTATTATTTTGCACGACCAATTATGATTTGTGATTTTGAAAGATACTACACACGATTACTAGAACATAGCCTACTGCACATCATAACCTTACTACGTAATTCATAGTTTACTAAGGAAATACACTAAGTTCTTTGATAGTCAATTTTAAATTATTAGATTGTTCCAACAGTTAAATTCCATTGAAGACTGACATAACATTAAACTTGTTAGAAAAAATAGCATGACTGTCTTTTGACGTAGTTTTCTTATCAAACAACAATATCTGAGGGCCGATCTTAATTTGATAGCGATTAAAAGTTGACATTGCTAGTTAGTTTGTAAACATGTTTGAGCTTGAAATTGCATTCAAACTGTTTTAAAAACATTGCAATTTCAGTCAAAATTTCCAACGTGTAGGTTATATTTTATTTAGTTAATAATTTAAATGTATTGAACTCAAACTGTAGCAGAAGTATAGTATAGTGTAGTATAGTAGTAGGAAGTATAGTCCTTTTATTGTTTTATTAGGTATGTTTTGGTTTTAGTATTGAATATACATACACTAATGGGGGATGTATGTGTGTTAATGAGTTTAGTTACCCGTATGACATTGATTATTTAGAATTTGTATATTGTTATATTATGTATTTGTATGGTTAGAAATTGAAATTCAATCAAGCTTAATTTTAATTTTAAAAAACTGTCTCTGGTTCCATAAAAGTAAGATTCAAGATGTTTACTGTCATTGGTTGTAATAATGACATTATCAAAAATATTTACCAGTACTGTAAAACATATTAACAATTTATTACATTATAATTAAGATTTACATTAGGCCTATGAATGTCTTAAAAACCTCCTTAAGTGAAATAAAAGTTTGTTTTGTTTTGAAACAAAAAATTATATTTCCCCCAAACATTTGGTTTAGCATCAGTTTACCAAAATTACGCAATAATATTTTTATTTTGTAAAGAGTTATTGCAAAAGTAAATTATCATTCAAGTAGGGCCTAACATAATTAGCATGAAATGTGTTATTTGTTCAAGTTAACTATGAATAAAATAATTAGTAATTAAAACCCATTGTCGTCTAGTTAAATTTGTAACAGGCCTGCACAAACTTTAAAAGTGTTGAAATATTAGGCAGTTCTTCAACAAACGATTGAACTATTTCAGTAGTTACCGTCAAATCAACGTGGATTTGAAAGTGTCATGGTTATATTTCATGTGCATAAATAGTTATTTTTCAACCAAAATTCTTAATTTAACTTTGCAGTTTGAAGATAATTCCAGCAAATTGTAGCCTATATTGCTCAGAAAGTCTGAGCTTGGTCAGAAGAACCAACGTCTGGGTTAGCAGAAGATGGTTAATGCAGAGAAAGTATAACAGGTTATTCTACTTCCACTTTCGATGCTCTTAACTCCAATAACACAACGTATAATGTTATTAGTCTTTCGAAAAAGTGTTATAAAAAAATCTATAAATATTTGAATGAATTTACTTTTGACGAATTTGTACTTTATGGTTTATTTTTAATTTATCAATAATGGAACATTGATTAAATCTGGCCTAGTATATAGTAGTATATAGTAATTTTCACGTTACTCGTTACAGTATTTCGTTCATATTCAGGTGACATATTTAATACGGGAACTAAAATATACATATTGTTTAACAAAATGTATGGTCCTTCAAAGGATAAAACCATAAACATATTAGTACCAAATTAATTAAACATTTTAAGTGTACTCGACAACATAAAAAATATGAGTAAAAACTTCCTTAACTACTTTTCGTTCAATGACCTTATTATTTAGATTAAGATATGCCTAAGGAATGTCAAAGTCGTATAAAGAATCATTTAAACGCTT